GGATGGACTGGTTGGATCTCCATGCAGTCCAAGAGACTCTCAAGAGTCTTTTCCAACACCACAGTTCAAAAGCATCAATTCTTTGGTGCTCAGCATTCTTTATAGTCCAACTCTCACATCCATACATGACTACTGGAAAAACCATAGCTTTGACTAGATGGACCTTTGTTGGCAAAGTAATGTCTCTGCTTTTTAATATGCTATCTAGGTTGGTCATAACTTTTCTGTCAAGGAGTAAGGGTCTTTTAATTTCATGGCTGCAGTCACCACTGGCAGTGATCATGGAGCCAAAAAAATAGTCTGTCACTGTTTCCATTGTTTTCCCATCTATTTGCCATGAAGTGATGGGACTGGATGCCATAATCTTAGTTTTCTGAATGTTGAGTTTTAAGCCAGCTTTTTCACTCCTCTTTCACTTTCATCAAGAGGCTCTTTAGTTCTTCTTCACTTTCTGCCATAAGGGTGGTGTCATCTGTGTATCTGAGGTTATTGATATTTCTCCCAGCAATCTTGATTCCAGCTTGTGCTTCATTCAGCCCAGCATTTTTCATGATGTACTCTGCATATAAGTTAAATAAACAGGGTGACAATATACAGCCTTGACGTACTCCTTTTCCTATTTGGAACCAGTCTGTTGGTCCATGTCCAGTTCTAACTCTTGCTTCTTGACCTGCACACAGATTTCTCAGGAGGCAGATCAGGTGGTCTGGTATTCCCATCTCTTTCAGAATTTTCCACAGTTTGTTGTGATCCACACAGTCAAAGGCTTTGGCGTCGTCAGTAAAGCAGTAGATATTTTTCTGGAGCTCTCTTGGTTTTTTTATGATCCAGCGGATGTTCGCAATTTGATCTCTGGTTCCTCTGCCTTTTCTAAAACCAGTTTGAACATCTGGAAGTTCACGGTTCATGTATTGTTGAAGCCTGGCTTGGAGAATTTTGAGCATTACTTTGCTAGTGTGTGAGATGAATGCAATTGTGCGGTAGTTTGAGCATTCTTTGGCACTCTTGTTTAGTAATGCTAATATGAACGTTGGGGTGTATATAACTTTTTTAATTTGTGTTTTTGTTTATTCCCAACCCAGGGAGTGGAATTGCTGGGTCACATGGTAGTTCTTTTTCAGTTTTGAGGAACTTCCATACTGTTCTCCCTGGTGGCTGCACCAGCTTACATTCCCACCAACAGTGTACAAGGATTCCCTTTTTTCTGCATACTCTCTGACACATTATTTATAGACTTTTGATGATAACTGTTCTAACAGGTATGAGGTGATGTCTCATTTTCATTTTGCATTTGTTATATTCATAAATTTTTTTATTTCTATTTGGGAATTTTTAATATTTTCTATCTTTGTTGCAATTCTTCTTTCATGCATTGATCTTTTGACCTCGGTGAGCATTTTTACAACCATTATTTTGAACTCTCAGGTAAATCACTTTGTTCATTAGATCTGTTCTGGATATTTATCATGGCACATCTGGAACATTACCTTTGTTTCTTTTTTATTGTCACTATGCATTATATAAAACAGCCACCTCTTCCAGTCTTGAATGAATGGTCTCTTGTAGGAAATGAATCGTGTTGGCTCAGCCCAGCCTGAGCTCTTAATTGGCTTTCAACCTTTTGTGACTATTTTCTTTGAGCCTACTTCTTTGCTTTTAGTGACATATTTAGAGGATATGCTAAGACTTGTATATCCAAAGGTGGGGTCTGCAGTTGGCACCTAGATGCAGGCTGATTAGACCCTGGACCCTGAGGCTGCAGCTGAGAGTATGTAGTTAAGCCCTGTGCAGGGAGAAAAGGAAATGGGCATTTTTTTTTTAACCTGTTCCCTTTGTGCTGAGCACAGGGGTACAGTCACTAGCAGGTAGGGGTGGTGGTACCTGCATCCATTAAGAATTGTATTTTTGTTTGCTATAATGCTATAGAATTCACAAATGCAAGCCCCATTGGCTGTCATAGGCAGATAACCCAGGGACTATTCCTTGGGTATCAGACATAAAAGTTGGGGCACAGTATGTAAAAACTCCTTTCAGGGAGATGCTAGTGATTGGAGTGTGCTGGAAGGAGATGGGAGAGGTGTCCTTCAACTTCCCCAGTCTCTGGGGAAGACTGCAGTTGCCCCTAGCACCTGCTAGATTAGGAGCTGGATCTTAGGCAGCAGCTTTTAAAACATGTGGATAAGCCTTTTTCGGGGGAAGACAGGGATTGGACTATTCTACTTGCTCCCTCTGCACCTGGCCCAGAGGGGCTAGTCACAGTGAGCTGTGACCATCAAGAATGTTTATTTTCTATAGCTTTGTGGATCTCATAAACACATGCCCTGTTGACTTTCAGGGCTAAGGATTCTGGGAGCCCGTACCTCAAGTGGGAGTCTTCCAAGTTAAGAGTACTAGAGGTGGAGTCCGAACCTGTCAGTGCTCAGAGAGAAGCTAAGAACTGGGAGTTCTCCTGATGCAGTGCTGTGCCAGGGTTGGGATGTATGGTGAGAGTGTATCTCAGCCTTTCCTACTATTTGGATATTTTCTCATTTGTTTAATACATAAGAGCTGCTCAGCTAGCTTCTGGATCTGTTTTAGAGGGATTGTTCTACATGTAGGTGTACATCTGGCGTATCCACGGGAGGAGGAAAGGGGCTCTAGAGCCTCCTCGGTCATCTTTACCTTGGGTGAATTACCATGGGTGACTGAGAAGGGCTTTATCTAGAAGGGCAGACAGACTCCTTGTCTGTCCCCTGTGAAGTTGAATCTGGTTTTGAAAATTGTGGCCATTCTTGTTCATTTTAATTGTAATGTGAGAAAGCTCTTCTGCACTTCTAGAAACCTTCCTTATGAGTCATTTCTACGTTATTTTTTTAAATTTGTTTTTAATTGGAGAATAATTGCTTTACAATATTGTTTCTGCCATACATCAACATGAATCAGCCACAGGTATACATATGTTGCCCCTCTCTTGAACCCCCCCACCTCCCCCAACATCCCACCCTTCTCGGCTGTCACGGAGCACTGGGTTGAGCTCCTTCTGTCACACAGCAAATCCCCACTGGCTATTTATTTCGCATACAGTAATGCTGCTCTCTCGATTCGTCCCGTCTCCTTCCCCTGCTGTGTCCACAAGCCTGTTCTCTGTGTCTCCATTGCTGCCCTGCAAATAGGTTTATCAGTACCATCTATCTAGATTCCATATATATGCATTGGTATACAATATTTTTCTCTTTCTGATTTACTTTATTCTGTATAATAGGCTCTAGGTTCATCCAGTCTCATTAGAACTGACTCAGATGTGTTCCTTTTTATGGCTAATATTCGATTGTATGTATGTACCACAGCTTCTTTATCCATTCATCTGTTGATGGACATTTAGGTTGCTTCTGTATCCTGGCTACTGTAAACAGTGCTGCAATGAACATCAGGGTGCTTGTGCCTTTTTCAATTATGGTTTCCTCAGGGTATATGTCCAGTAGTGGGATTGCTGGGTCATATGGTAATTTTATTCTTAGTTTTTTAAGGAATCTCTGTACTGTTCTCTGTGCTGGCTGTACCAATTTACATTCCCACCAACAGTGTAGGAGGGTTCCCTTTTCTCCACACCCTTTCCAGCATTTATTGTTTGTAGCTTTTTTGATGACAGCCATTCTGACCAGTTTGAGGTGATAACTCATTGTGGTTTTGATTTGCATTTCTCTAATAAGGAGCAATGTTGAGCATCTTTTCATGTTTGTTGGCCATCTGTATGTCTTTAGAGAAATGCCTATTTAGGTCTTCTGCCTACTTTTTAATTGGGTTGTTTGTTTCTGGTATTGAGCTGCATCAGCTGCTTGTGATTAATCCTTTGTCAGTTTCATTTGCAATTATTTTCTCCCATTTGGAGGGTTGTCTTTTCACCTTGTTTATTGTTTCCTTTGCTGTGCAAAAGCTTTAAAGTTTAATTGGGTCCCGTTTATTTTTATTTCCATTACTCTAGAGGGATCTTGCTGTGATTTATATCAGTGTTCTGCGTATGTTTTCCTTTAGGAGCTTTATAGTTTCTTGACTTACATTTAGGTCTTTAATCCATTTTGAGTTTATCTTTGTCTATGGTGTTAGGAAGTGTTCTAATTTTATTCTTTTTACACCCAGTTGTCCAGGTTTCCTACCACCAGTTACTGTAGAGATTGTCTTTTCTCCATTGTTTATTCAAGTCTCCTTTATCAATGATAAGGTACCCATAAGTGTGTGGGTTTACCTCTGGGCTTTCTATCTTGTTCCATTGGTCTATATTTGTTTTTGTGCCAGTACCATACTGATTTCTACATTGCTGTATATTAAATACTATGTGTAACAAACTTACTAAAGAATATCAAAGCTACAAGTGAGAGGAATTAGGTGGTCATAGAGTTGTGAGACATAATCAGATTTATCATATTGAATACTGTGACTACTTGTGAGGAACATTTTGGCCCTTATCATGAACACTCCTGGATTAGAGTATCTGAGATAGAACTCAGAAATTTGCATTTTAACAAGCTTTCCAGGTGATTATTCTGTAGACTAAAGTTGGAGCTCCTGCTCTCTGGAATGTTTCATTACGCTATGTTGTTGACATCATTTGCTAGTTTTTGCACCTACTAGTTTATTCTCTTGCCACGTCTTTTATGACTAGATGAACTTCACATCTAATTTGATATGCAGTTCAATTCCTTAGCCACACTCCTTCCTCAGAGGAATATTGGTATTCTGATTCTACATACGAACAGCAGAAGCAACTACAGTGTCACTTTTTCTTTCCCGAAAATGTGGGGAGTCGGGGAAAGAGGGCATTAAGAAGCTGGTTTGTATTTTTCAAAAGTTCCTCACGTGACTGATATAGAAGCTTTTGTATAGTTTTTTTACAACTTTGTTGTTTATCGTGCTATTCTGTTTTTATACCAAATCACAAGTAGAACTGCTCTTCTTATAAATATCTTTAACAAATCAATTTTAATTTAGATTTTAGCATTAGTTATGGTTTCTTTTTCTAATAGGTGTCATCTTTAAGAAATGAAAAGCGAGGCTCATCATATCTCGTCTCTGCCCCAGAAGGTGGTTCAGTGGAATTTGCTGACCAGCATTCTCAGGGCACAGGAGCATATTACATGGAAACCTACTTAAAAAAGAAGAGAGTGTACTGAGTTAAGTTCTCTCCTTATAAACTCATAAGGTTCTTTGCAGTATCTCTGCTGTTCATCGCTGCCTTAACTACATTCAGACTAGCCATATCCTTTAAATTACGGGTTTATAACTTCCCAGAACGAACTGTGTTGTGCAGCAGGCAGAATTGCCGAATAAAAAAAGTAAGTAGCAATAAGAGACATCAATTGAGGACATATTCCACTAGAATTAGATACATCTTAATCAATGTGCTATTAAATTACAGTCCATTGGAGAAATTAACATATCCTAATATTCCTTGTTTAGGACTGGGAATAATTTTGACACCATATATAGAAGTGAAGCAATAAAATGGGAAACACTCTTGGTTTCCCGAGCCTTAGGATAAATTTCTGATAAGCCAATGTACATTTCAATTTACTTTATCTGGAAGTAATCTCATTCACAAATTTTTAGACCTTTTCCTAGAATTAGAGTGCAAGTACAAAATGCAGTGACTGGTAATGTTATATTCTAAGTACAAACTTCATTATCACCCCCCTATACCAGTCATGCACTGTCAAACACAGAGGTGACATCCAAGGTATATACCACTACAGATGCTTTATGCTTATATATTATTTACCACTAATACCTCTTGTGGGGGGAAAAGGTATTTTTTTAAGTAGCTTTGGTGATCTAGTAATAATTTCAGGGCTTGGCAAACTGCTCCCTGTGGTCAAATTCAGTCCTCCACCTGTTTTTATACTGCCTGCAAGCTAAGAAAGATGTTTACATTTTAAAATGTTTGGAGGAAAAAAAAAAGTATGACTTGAAATTCATATTTCAGTGTCCATACATAAAATTTTATTCAAACACAGCCATGCTTATTCACTTACATACCATCCATGGCTGATTTTCGTGCTACAGTGGCAGAGCTGAGTAGCTGCAAAGCCTAAAATATTTACTATCTGGCCCTTTATAAAGTTCACAGACTCCTGATCTAATACCATTAATTCCCTAATCCTTTTATTTTACATCTACAAAAAGACTTAAATTTTGCAACAGATTTGTAAGTAAGTGGCAAGAAACGTAGGTTTCTAAGTTTTGTAGAATAGTGATGATTAATTTACACGTTTTAGTCATCAAATGCCCTATTTCCACAGTAAAGCAGTCAATTCTGCCATTTCTAAAGGGGTCTTATGAGGTAACAGTATTTATAACCATTCTTAGATAATAAGCTATACCTCACTCTCTGCTTTGTTTCTTATTTGGTTGCAGTGTGTTAGGCTGAAAAATTATCAGGTGTTTAACCCAGTTTTATCCAGCTTCCTTTCGAAAGAACTGTTCATTGCACATAACTTTTGACATCACCATTTCCTGAAGACCTTGGTATTCAAATTGCATGAGAAACCCTTTTGCTATCCAGAATGTCTAAGTTTGTTCTTTGTTATGAGACACTAATTCATGATGTGGAATTGAGGGGTCTCAGTGATCCTAGTCTTTTTGAAATCAGATCTTTAAGTATCTTGTATTTGAGGGACTTTATAAGAGGGTATCGCTCCTGTTTTAGAAGTTTAAAACTGCTATATATGATTTGTAATGTATTGCTTATGTTAACTTCTGCTGGCAAATGACAGCTAGAAAGTTAAACTAAGATAATTTCTAGTAAGTATGTGACCTATAAATAACCAATCAGGATGGGCATCACTCAGTTCTGACTCAGCAGATGAAAAATGGGTTCTCCACGCTCTGCACTTCTTGTTTTCCTGTTGCATTAAGCCTCTTCAGTGCTTTGTCATAACTCTATGACAGCAGAAGAAAGGGAAGATGGAAATTTTAGAAATACAAGCAGAAAGAGGTTGAAAGAACTAAAAGGTACTTTGAGTTAACAGGTGTGGGTCTGCCATCCATACTGGCCTGTGCCCCATTGGGACATAAGAGATAAGTGTGACTCAAGTTGTGTTAGTATAAGGACCATTACCCATGCTCTCCCCACCAGTCCATACTGTTATTTTTCTATGTACACAAATTGTAATGCTTTGAAAATGAACTCTTAATATTAAAAGGCATATGCATGTGAAGTCTCCACATATTTATTTGTATAAAGAGTAAACAAAGTGCATAGAGAGTGACCACAGGTTTGACACAGACAGAGACATTTGTGCAGGGTTATTGAACAGATTTAAATGGCAAGTTTATTGTTGCCATTGAATCAATACACAACTATCTTTTCAGGTTTAAGGGGGAGAAATAATGATATCAAACAAATAATAGCATCAACAAAAAGTTTTGCAGACTCTTGGTCAAAAAAAATTTACAGTTCACATTGAATCAGATTTGACATTTTGATTACCCAGCAGTCTCTAGGCAAACTGAGAACCGCCTAGTAGATCCTGAACTCCATAGTCTTCTGGCTGGGTCTTTCAAGTTTTGCGCCATAGGGTGATGGTCAAAATAGTGATCGACTCTTGTAGATGGATGGTTAAGTACTGAAACACTCTAAGAACAGTGCAATGTACGTGGTATATATGCAATCAGCATCCAGAACCAATGCTGGAACAGCCTGCCCCAAAGTGGTAGAGTTACAAAAGGATATACACTGACATTTCTGAAAAGCATGTATCCAGGTTCTTGGCCTCAGTTCTGATTAAAGGTATACTGTTTAGGGAAGCACTGGCACAGGTTTAGTTCTCGAGAATTAACATCATGCAGCAAAGTATCTATTCCACAGCTGCCCCTCCAGGTACGTACGACCCGTCTTGTCAAACATGGGTACCGCTCGTCACCCAAGGGGACAGGAGCTAAGCCACTGCAGAAACAACTCAAAGTTCATGTCCTACTGTTGACAGGAATACACTCATCTTTGTATAGAGACAATAGTATACTAACTGGTATCTATATTTCAAGAATGTTTCATCTATCATGGTATAGATATTGAAATTTGAGGGCATAGTAGAGTACTGGCTAAATTCATCAATCCTTATCTTTATATGCCAGAAAAATATTTCATATCAACTGGCAGCTAAGAAAAAGCAATCATCTTGAGACTCTGATCAGCTCCTCTTGTTTTGAGAAATCCCATTCTGGTACTCAACTGTGATGGTAAACTAGCCAGACAGTAATATATTCTTTCCAAAAGGAGGAGTGCTTAAGTGCTTTCTAATATTTTGGTTGTCACTGTGTTACTGGTATCAAATTTAAAGAGGAAGTACTTATACATATTAAGCATCACAGTGTGCCTTATATATGGATACGTACCCTGGTATCTTTTTAGAGAGAATACAAACTTTTTCCAGTAACACATTTTTTTAAATGGCTTGGGTACTGGTTGGGGGTAGGAGGACTTGATACACATTAGAATTTAAATGTTACTCATGCTTCTTAGAAGTGCTTCAAATCCTTCGATAAGGTTCTGAAAGGTTGTCCGATTAGATGGTTGAAATTCCCAACACTTTCGCATATGTTGGTAAACCTATTAAAAAAAAAACAGTAAAAATGTTTAGGAGCTTTTTTTTTTGCTCTTTTTTTAAGTATAGAAACATCAAGAGGAAGAACATAATTTTGAAAATGTGAATGAGTTTCCTTAAGTCATAAGATAAATTGAGTATTTGAATAACTTAAAATATAGAAAATGTGTAAGCACATCTGTAAGTATTAAATATTATTCGTAAGTATTTTATTATTTGAGAAGCTCATGCCTTAACTGACCTTGCAAAAAAACCAGGTCACAAATTACTGTAAGCCAATTTAAGGGTGACATTATAGCTCAGTTTAGACTACAAATTTCCTTACTGGCTGCTTCATTCTTTGGCTCATACATACTATTCGGTGTACTTAAATAGTCTAAAGAATTAGTCGTAAAGCAGTTCAGTTAGAAATACAGAAAACTGATTGTCACAATAAGGTAACACCAAAATATGTTCCTCAAGGTGCTCACTAAGGTAAGCCTACTATTGAAGGCAATCTCTTCCTTTGAACATAATGTGTGGTTGTCATTTGCCCCAAAGGTTTTCTCAGATATCCAAAATTCAGCGTCAGAAAACTATTTTAAAATGCAAGCAGTGAAAACAGTTTTATTACTGTGAAATGGCCCATAAATACCTCATCTGGACAGTTAGGTGGACACGGCAAGCGTTTTCCTTCTTTTAATGTATTCACGAGTCTTGTTACCGTCATCTGGCCATGAGTTGGGCCTATCATTTTCAGGAACAACTATGAAAAATAAAATCAAATGAAATATTTTAATTTTTGCACATATTTATATAAACTCCAGAGAGGTTAAGGTAGAATTTCTAGAATTGGAAATGAAAACAAACAGGCTTTTCTCCTTAGTAACTTAAAGTGAAAGTCCAAGACAGTTTTCCTTTCCATTACAACACACTGACCGAGTCTTTATGAACAAAACTTACAAAGCAGAGGGATGGACACATTTTCATTGGGGGCCAGATTCAAGCAAAGGACAAGTATGACTTACGGTCATGGGACTGGAATCTGAATCACAGTAAGTAAGCAGCTCATGCAGAGTCACTCCGAAAGACCAGACATCAGAGGCGATATAAAACTTACACTGAATTAAACATTCTGGAGCATACCTGAAAGAGAGCAGAACATGAAACTTCATTTTCTGGAAAGGACATACCAAAAACATTAGAGTAACTCAGCCCAGAGAGCTGACTTGTCTTAGACTATAACATTCGAAGACACTTAAGTGTATATTATATGTTAGTCACACACATGCTGCCCTGGCGCACACCTGATGTGAACAATATCCCTGTGGGCCCTCAGTTCACACAGCACAGGCTCTCCCTGGGGAGGGGTGTGGGAGGAGGTGATGACCACAGGCCCAGATTTTATCTGCCTGCAAGCTCACAGTGAGTGAGTAGTGACCTAAATGCCCGGTCCTCTTACAGTATCTGCTGTTTTGGTGAAGGTTATCCATTGCCTGAGCCAGAAATTGAGGCATTCCCATATCCGGTCTCAGAAATACTTCTCAGACCTACTCACTGCTCCTAAACCCCACCATCACTGTCCAAATCACAGCCCGAGTTCATGCCATCACTGCCCCCGGCCAAATCAGACTCCAGGCTCCGATCTTGCTCCTCTCCTTCCCACAGTGATCTTTTTAAACAGAAGCCCCCATCCTTAATCCTCCCAACAGCACCCCAAAACCCCAGCTCCAAAACTCAAGTATCTAGGGCACTGCCTTAGCAACTGCAGAGACCTTTCATCATCCAGACACGTTGAGCTGATTCCAGTTCCTGGGCCAGCCACTGCTCTGTCTCACTCTTGCCATCACACACATGCCTTCTACCCATCTTTACAACCCTCCAGGAATCTTTTAAGGACTTAACCTAACAGAACTTCCAGAAAAGCAAGCCCGAATGCTTCTATGGTTATGGCACCATGAAACTAGCTGCCTCACCCATTAAATTCTAAATTTGGTCATCTTATTTACCCTCGAATCTCTAGTACCTGGCACAAAGCAGGGGCTTCACAGGTATTCCTTTGAATAAATGAATTCATTTATCCAGTGAATATGCAATGAATAAATGGAAGTTTGGGTTCATTGGGTGGGAGAGACCCACCTCTGCCCATGTAGGATGCACCTTGCAGGGCTGGTCAGTTCTACAGGACAGAGTAGAATGGAGACTTGGCAGCTTCCCCCTTGGACAGTGTTCCAGACAGAGGGGTCAAAGGCGGGATGTGGCCTTCCAACTAGGACACTGGCGATTCATGAGAAGATAGCCAAACCTCCCATGAATTTTCCTCTGCTCTGTCCGAGTTCTCCCTGAACCTGCCAAAGCCTCCTCCTCACCTCATACTTGCCCTCTAGGCTTCCTCTACATGGCTGTGACTACTCTGGCTGCTAATGGTTTTGTTGTTTTTTTTTTTTAAATCTGGAACGCTTCATGAATTTGCGTGTCATCCTTGCGCAGGGGCCATGCTAATCTTCTCTGTATCGTTCCAATTTTAGTATATGTGCTGCCGAAGCGAGCACTGCTAATGGTTTTAAGAACTGTGTCAGAGGAATGCCTTCTCAAGGGAAGACAGAGATGCTGAGTGCTGTTAGATTTCTTCGTTGGAAGATGTTGTCAATGAAGCTCAGACACTGCCGTCTGTGTGGCTTTCAGTGAAACGGCTTAAGAGCTGTTTCTTGAAGGTAAAAATTAGTCAATTCCAAATGATCTAAGTCTCTTCTAACCTGGACTAATAAGAGAATTTAACATATCTAAAAAGGACCTATCAGAACAGGGGAAGCCCTTTGAAGCACTGAGGAAATCTGTGTGATTCAGTTACCAGAACACAGGGCTGTCCCGGTCATCCTTGACTGTGTAGTACTCCTTATCAGTCTCGATGGCTTTGGTTAGACCAAAGTCCCCAATTTTCACTTGGTGTTCACTCTCAACAAGGACGTTTCTTGCTGCTAAGTCCCGGTGAACATATTGCCGAGAACCCAAATAGTCCATCCCCTGAGGGAGAGAAACAAAGGCAGAGTGTGCTGCTGAGATCAGATCAGACTGGACAGAGATACAACTGTCATTTCATTCACGTATCACTTTTTTTGTTGTTTTTACTTTTATGCAAAAATATAAGACCAACTTGATTCAAGGAAGTACATAGTAAAGAAACCATCACTTTCTTAATAGAGGCTAATTTCAATCCACATCAAGCAGAACAAAATAAACTCAGTATAATCGGAAAGTTTCCCACTTGCAGCCTAATTACAAACCAATTACTCAGGACAGAGTGCCTGAGTTTTAAGTTTTTACCAGGTTTTTTCTTTTTTCCCTTTTTACCTTGCAAATCTGAACAGCATATTTTAACTGCTGTTTGAGATTAATTTTGTTCTTATTCTTTGGAAGATATTCCTTAAGGCTCCCTGAAGGCAGAAACTCCATGATGAGCTTAATACCATTTCCACCTGTTTGGGGGGGAAAAAACCATTAGCTGTTGTTCAGTTGCCAAGTCATGTCCGACTCTTTACAACCCCATGGACTGCAGCGCATCAGGCTTCCCTGCCCCTCACTATCTCCCAGAGTTTGTCCAAGTTCATGTCCACTGAATTAGTGCTGCCATCCAACCATCTCACTCTCTGTCGCCCTCTTCTGCCTTCAATCTAGCCCATCAGTACAAGACAGTCAAATGAAGGAAGAGTAAAGGGCACAGGATCTGGAGACAGAGGACCTGAACTGACTCAGCATTGACCTTGAAACCACAGGCAAGCTGCTTAACCCCAGAGGTTCCAGAGACCTGGGATCCTCAGGAGTGACCTGGGTACCTACCCCAGGGTCATCACCACTCACTCAGACAACGCAGTGTTCTGCAAAGCACTCGGCAAATGATTTTTAAAAATCATGAGCCACATCATTTTCACTACAAATTTTAAAGTACAATAACATGAATGCTGTAGTGGCTTGAAAAAAGATACACTTAATAGTAAACACTATTTGCCACTTTGATTTATACAACTAGAAAACTAAATGCCCTGCCTAGTGTTGGGTCAGAAAAGCAGGTAAAGGAGAGGGGTGGGTGTCAGTTTCATCTGGCCTAGTGTGCTGAGTATTGGGACAGGGGAAATCTAATCCCCAGTGTGGATGTAGTAGCCACCTAGAGAAACAATGCTGGAATCATCCCTGCCTAGGAGGCAGGCTGGGTAGTCTTCCCGGAAGCTCTGCAGCTGCTGAGGGATCTGACGGTGCGTACGGCTTGGAAGTCCTAGAGCTCTGGTGGTTATCAGCTAGCATTCAGGCAGCCCAGATGAGGCCGAGGGCATGGCCTGCTCGGCACTAGCCTTTGTGTGACCCCAGATAGCCACTTAGTCTTTAAATGAACCACACTTTGCATAACATACCGTCTTCTGTGCAGATGCCTTTATATTTCACGATGTTCTCATGGTAAAGGTTTCTTAAGATTTCAATCTCCTTCTTCAGATCAGCGATGTGGTTCCCTCCACTCTCGGGCTTCAGGGATTTGACAGCCACCTGCTCCCCGGTATTGTCCCCCTCAGGGTCATACCTGCAGAGCTCGACCTTCCCAAAGTGGCCCTGGCGGGAAAGATGCACACGCTTGATCAGAGATGCCTCAGCCTGGGCCAGCAGGACACACTCAAAAGACGAGGCTTGTTCCTCTGGAGGCTGGGGAGGGCACACACAGCCTGACCCTGCAGGTGACAAGCTCCTACCTGGCTTCTTCCTCCTCCCTGCGCCCTTCCCCACTTGGCTAACATGCCAGCCCTTCTATTACTGTGCTAAGACAAGAAAAGGCTCCGGTGACTGGTGAACCAACACATCAATCCTAGTTTCCATGAAAGTGTAACTCACAAGGAAATGGAGGTGTCAGGTGGCACAACCATGGCATTCTTTGACAGCGCTGGGTCCACGCTACAAGAGGCACCACAATGTGGCTACAAAGGGCAAGGCATGAGGAGCCTTCAGAAGATGGGGATTAGATCCCAGCTCAGCCACCTACTAGTGAGGTGGGCCTGGTCACCCAGTCTTCTGAGCTGGCTCCGGAGGTGCTCAGCATGCACACTCGTACTAAACCCAGGGATGCTGTGAGGAAGCGGGACCACTATGATTGCAGAGTGCCAGCACCAGGCCTTGGCACAGGGCGGGTACCCGAGATGGGACAGTCTCTATAAACTACAGGAAAGCTGTATGAAGATGCAAATCCAGTAGCTTCTCTAGTCACATTTACTGTTAGGGAACTATTCAAGGTCCAGAAGAAAAGCTAGCATTCTATTTTCAGTGTTCTGTGAAGTAAATCCACCGCTCATTTAAGCAGCCTCACAGGATACATATTCCCAAAAAAGTCAGGCAGGGATTGTTCTATTTCCACCATATCTATACCCATCCCCCATGCCTCTTCCTTTATATTCTCTGTCCCTCATTAAAAAAAAAAAAGGGACAGAGGCAGCTCCTGAGGGAGCTGACCAATGTCCTGTGTGCATGAACAGGAAGACATGTGCATGCTACCACTCTTTGTCAAATGGAGAAACACACGATCCCTGAGAAAACACTGGAAGATGCTTTCTCTTATAAACTTTGACCTGAACGAGAGAGAATGGAGAATGGCTCTAGATGTCCAGAGAGGTGAATGGTCAGCAGTGTAACTTGCCTCTCCCAAGTCACGGATCCTCTTTAAGAACCGCTTTTCAAAATGTGTGGGATCCACTTCAGTTGTTGGCTTTTTTTCTGATACAATGTCTGGATCTAACAGAAGAGAGAAAACATATTAAAAAGAAGTGAATGCCCCTCCAGGCTCCAAGTTGTCACCCCCTCCCCAGGGCCCTGGCTGGTCTTGGTTAAACAACTTAAGGCAGTCGTACTCTGCTCCTCCAGCTTATTGATGTCTCTCATGATGGCTCGGAAGAAGGGTCTCTGGTTGGGGTCGTAGTTCATGCAGCGGGTCATCAGGTCAGCTAGCTCCTTACAAGACGGGGTCACTGGCCTGCACCGGCTTTCGTAGAATCTCTCTTTCTGCAAAGAACAGGACCATGTTGAAGAAACCAAAGGAACCACCCACAAACCTTTTAACCCCAGGTCAGAAAGAGTTACCTAACAATTCCTAATTTAATTCCCAACAGCTCTGCTTAAGGGTAGACTTCATAAACATGAGTGCTACTGTTGCCTTTTTTTTTTTTTTTTTACAACTATGGAAAATCTTAGTCCTGATACAAAAATAGTCTGAATTCAAGGAAAATACACAGTATATCCTACCCAATCCCAAATAAGCTGTATTCCTGCAAAGTCATGCAACCTTCTGGAATATGACTTGGCAACATGTGTAGAAATCTTCAGATTCTTCAAACTCTTTGACTCATTAACTGCAACTACTGAATGACTCAGAAATAAGTCAAATATAAACAAAGATTTATGTTTAAAGATATTCCCTGCAGAATTAAACACATTACAAATATGAAAACAACCTCAATGCCAAGTATCTAATTTTAGTTAAATAATTAGAATTTAATGAAACAACAAACTCTTACATCAATTTAATCATATAGGAAATTACAACATTAAATGAAAAAATAACGATTTAGCATGGTCCCAATTTTGTTTAAAAAATTGATACAAACAGACTGGAAGACAATATGCCAAAGTGTTAAATATTAATCAAGGGTGACTGGAATATAGTGATTATTTTCTTTTTTAAAAATAGTTTTCTCTATTTTCCAAATTCTCATCAAGTGGTTACTACTTTAAAATTCTGAAACAAATGACTGATTTATTTAAATCATTAAAAAAATTCAGTGTATTTACTACACTCCAGATTCTGGTCTGTGTAGCTGAATCTCAAGGGTGCTGGTTTCTCTTGTGGTCCCTGTGGATGCTGGTGTCGGGACGGGGAGTTAGGCCCCAGAGGAGAGGAGGAAGAGGAAGAGGATTAAGGAGCTGAGAGCTGCCCCTGCTTTAGAGTATATCTCACTCTTCTAGGCGCCAGTGCAGACCTAGACCTTTGCTTACCCTATCTCCATATTCTGCTCAGCCCTGGGTAAACACAAGGTGCTCAAAAAGTACTGACAGCAAATGGTATGCTGTTTTGTTTCCAAGGAAGTTAAAAATAAAATTACTCCCTAAAGTCCTGGCTGAAAATTCCAAATAGCAGATCTATAGAAGTGCTGATTTCTCCATGGGTTTTAGCTTAACTCCTCTTGCCCAAGTCTTGCACCACGTTCATCTGTCAGAAGATTCAGTGGTTAGAGGTTCTTTAGGCTCTTCGGTGTCTCCTCCAAGCGCGCCCTCCACGCTGCATCCCCACTGCCGCTCCCTGGCTCGGGCTCTCACCACTGAGCGCCGCAGGGAACTCGCTGCCCTGTCCTCTCCTCAGCCTGTCCATCCAACCACCAGCCAAGCGCACCGTGCCAGGGCTGGCCTCCAAGCCCTTCACCGTCCCACATCAACCCTGGCAATCAGGGCCTCTACAAAACCTGACCTCAAACAACCCTTCCCACCTGTTCACCTGTCGTTCCTTGCCACACTCCAGGCAAGTGGAACCACTTACTGCTTCCTGTAGACGACTGAAATGCCACCTTCCCCTGGACTTCGATCATTCCCTCCCAGCTACAAGTGATGCCTGCCCCGCTAAACACACAAGGCACATGCCAGAAAGCAAGTCAGTGATTCAGGATCAGTGGTCCTTCATTGTAACTGCTACTGCAGTATCCCTTTAGAGTTAGAAAGCTCTACTAGCTTTCTGCAAGTGAACAAGCAAGAGTTAGCCTTGAAGCTGTGCAGTCTAGCTGAATAACTCAGGCCTGAGCCACCTGCGTCTCGGTTACCTGACCTGTAAAACAAGGGTAATGACACTACCCCACCCAACACGCATGGCTCTTTGGGTGATGGTTTCAGATCCTTACCGCTATTTTAGCCCACCTCTCCTTCTAGACCCTAAGGTCACTAAGGGCAAGTGAGGCCTGTGTCTCTTTCATCGTAAACCCCCAGCTTCAACTTAGGACAATGCTTGGTACACAGGAGGGGCTCAATAAATACTTGTGTGTTAATCTTGAGATGCCAGAACCAGCTACTGAGCTCGTATTGTATACCTGGCACTCTACGTGCATTATTTGCTTAATTGTCCTAACAACCCTGCAAAGTAGGTATTCTTTATCCCGGTTCCATAGATGATGAATCCAGGCCCAAGGAAACTAACGTGTGAGGTTACACAGCCAGCAAGCCTGTGGAAGACAGTCAAACCCGTGCCCGTCTCCTCCACAGTGTGAGGTTTCCTGGTAATTCCTGAGATGCCCTTGAGTGTTCAAGGGGCCCTCACTCAGCTCCCAGCTGGAAGCAGCTGCTCACCTCAATCAGCGTCTTGTCTTTCAAAGGGATCTCGCCATTGTAGCAGATTTCCCAGAGTGTGGTTCCAAAGCTCCACTTGTCAGCAGCCACACTCAGGTTCTTGGAGTCTTCAACACACTCAGGAGCGATCCAGGGGATTCGTTCTATGCACTCTGGAAAAGCCAAGAGGTGTTCACAGATCAGTGTCTGCAATACCTAGGGAGTGTATCACCGTCACTGCAGCAAGAACTGGAAGTTAACAAAGAAATGCCTTCAAGCAGTGTTTTCCAAACGTAGGCCGTGGCTGCACTGGGCCTGTGGAAAGCTTGTTAAAGGGGAAGTTTTTCAGGTCCCTCAGCCCTGGCCCTTCTGATGCACCTGTCTGAGACAGGGCCTGCAGATGTGTCTGTTTAACACAGACTCCCCAGGAAGGTGGAGCCCATCTTCTGAAGCTTTGGCTTCAAAAACAGCAAAGCACCCCCGAGTGGAGGAGGTCACGTGGACAAAGGGTTAAGAAAGGGAAGGCCAGGGAGAAGAGGCCGACACATGCAGAGTGGGCACAGGCTAACCTCCCCTTCCTCCCATACTCTGCACCATCCAATGTCATACTTCTTTAACGTGAGTTTTCTTTCATTTGAGAAAGAACAAAAGGCGGCACACATCTCTTGCACCCAGCCGCCGAAGAAGACCAGTGAGTGGTTTAGAACCCCTGCCACGTCCACAGAAATGGCCCTCAACAAGCTCAGTGGACTCCTGGAGCAGCATCTCAGCTCCTGATGGAAACAGGCAGGAAGCCACTGAGCTGGGCAGTGATGCTCAGGCTTGCTGGTCCTTCTTCTCGCCTTCTCACGTCCATCCTCCTGACAGACAAGTGCAGGCTGGCCCTAGGACCGTATACCTACTGTCGCCTTGCTGCCGGCCCACCTCACTGGCCTGTAAGGCCCAGATAAACCCACCTCCTTGCTGAATCACTCTCTGGGCCCCCCGGATGTCGTCTCTCTCCTCTGAATGTTCACAGCATTTTATTGGCCCCTCTCGCAGCATCCCCAGGCTTCTCTACTTGTTCTAGAGTCACCAGTGTCTGTGTCTCAGACCCTTGCTGAGAACAGGACCCCGGACAGGTTCAGGGCTGGGTCTGTCTCAGGACTGCTGGATGATGGCCAGATAGTAAGCATCAAAAGGTACCGAAGGATGCTCCCTGCTCCTCTTCCAAAGAGTGGATGATTTGGGTCTTAATTTGTGAGGCCTGTTCTTCATCCTGGTTTGTTTCCAAACTCAGTCCATTCCTTGATTGAATGACTGAGCAAAACTCTCAGTGCTGAAGACCACAGGCCATGGCAAGCAGGAGGCACCAGGCCCAGGGGCGCTCTGGGACCCTATGTGTGGCCTTCAGGCAGAGCACGAGCAGTGTGGCGCTGCGTAGTGTTTCAGCTGCTGGGTCTGCCCACTCCTCTGGAGTCGTCAGCTCAGGGTGACTAATTCAAAGACAAGATGCCTCAGTGATGCTAAGGCACTCCCCAAAGTGCTCACTCACTACAGGGGATTTCAAAAGGAACACAGGGAGGACCCAGGGCCCATTCCTCCTGACACCTCTCTGACCACCGAGGACCCACAGCCTCCCTCTGAGCAAGGTGCTACCCCAGCACCTCAAACAAGCTCCTTCATCACAAGGACCGGATGTGCCTTGGCCAAGTTTTCTTCTTCTGCACAGTCAGCTCCTTGAGGTCAAAGACCAAGCCTCCCCCACACAGCATCTCCTCTGCCCCCAAGGTCTGGATAGGAGCAGCAGACACCTTTTGCAGAAGTATGCTTTCTAAAAGGAGACAGAACCCCAGCCCAGCCCCCTCCCCTGCTGGCCTGGACCTGCTTGTGAGGGGAGTGGGGGAACACACCTTGTCTGGAGAGCACAGTGATGGGGATGCCAGGGTCACTGAGCTTGATGAAGGGGCCGCACTCACTGTCGATGCCCTCACGGGCCAGAAGGAGGTTTTTGGTGCACACGTTTCCGTGGACCAGGTCTTTATCCTCCTACGGAGTGAAAAGGCTGACTCAGCAAAAATGGCAGTGTTGCTACCCTTCTTCCCAAACCCCCTCCAGTTTCCAGCCCTCAGGTCGTAACGCACAGACCCAGCCCCAGCCAGACCCAGGCAGCCAAGAGCTCCCACTGATCTGTGCGACTCGGGCACATTCTATAACATCCCTCTGCTCTATTTCCCTCATCAGGAAAACAGGGATGATGGGGGGTGGGGGGTGGGGGTGGCGGGCGGGCGGGCAGGCCTCATAAGGCTTTTGTGAGAATTAAAGTGGTGAGAGTCTCAAAACACATGCACAGCTGAAGCATGGTAAGCATTCAATAAATGTGAGCTACTGTTGATCCTAACAGATTCATTCACTCATTCAGCAAGTACTGTAATATTTCTACTCTCACCATATAATGCAGTACCCAAGTCAGTCTTCTGAAGGGACAAAATCTCCCTCTAAGCAGGATCCATACGTAAGCTCACAGGACAGCCCAAGATGATGGTTTTCACTAAGCACCAGGCACACCTGTTTAAAGGCACAGAGCCCAGGCCCCCCAGTCTGCTGGGTCAGTACCTCCTTCCTGCCTTCCCAACTAGGACATTCTGCTTCTTGGTTGAGACCACAGACATCAGAACACACTTACCAAGTAACTCAGGGCGCTGGCCAGCTGTTTGGCAACTTTAAACTTCCAGGGTGTGGTGAGGACATCACTTTTCCGGTGCATGAAGAGATCCAGGGGTCCCCCTTCCACAAATTCTTCCACCATGATATCTACAAGCACAAAAGCAGCCACATCTGCAACCTGACGTCCATCTGGGACAGCACCCTCCCTGCCCTCACGAGAGCCCGGTTTAATGACTGGTACTGAGCTTGACAGTGCAAGTGGCACAGTGCTTCAGAGTCGGACAGGCTTGAGTTCAAGCCCTGCCTGACGCTCCTTCTACTCTGACTCTCTGAGCAATGAACTCAGCCCACCCACTCCCTACTTCTAGTGTGGGACCCAGTGCTTGCCAGAAGTAAACATTCAAGAAATCAATGAAAAACAAATGCGATTTAATTCCAAGTCCACTACTAGCTTAAGCAAGTGACCTGCTCAGCGCTTTGCATTCCTTGATTACAAAAAGCAAAGCAAGAAGCCTGGGCAACATGAAGCAGATGTCAGCTACCAGTCATCTTCACAGCAGCCCATGCTACCCGGCTAGGGCCACCCTCCCCTTCCGAAAAGACACACTTACTCTCCACGTCTCGGACACAAACCCCATAGAGGTACACGATGTGTTTATGGGAAACCTGCCTCATCATGCTGGCTGCCTCAAAGAAGGCCTGTGGGAGAACAGGACAAAGACATGTCAAGCGCGGGCCTCCACTGGTCTGATCCTAAAGTGGCTCAGCTGAGAGGGAAGGCAGTGGAGCCCAGGGAAGCTCACCACTGTCCTCATCCCAAGGCCTGGCCTCAACTGCCCGGAGGCACTGCCAAGCCTCTGCTGTAAGGATCATCTGGCTGGGACACAGGACTTAGGTAGCAAACCCCATAGGACACAGTGCTGGGCTGGTGGGATAGGCTGGCTGGCAACTTCCTCATTGGATACTCATGTCCACTGCTCAACTTCCTCATTGGATACTCATGTCCACTGCTTCTTCCTTCAAATGTTGGGGAATAACAACGTTTGACACTGTATTAGAATAAAAGGGGAGCCAAGGCAGCAGATGTTTGTCAAGACTCGGCTTTGTCGCTCTCTAACAGGATGTGGGGTTGTGGGTCAGTCACTTTACTCCTCTGGGCTTTGCTTTTCCAGACACTGAGTGACAGCCTGGGCTACATCAGGGGTTCTGAGATCACTCAGCTAGTCCAAGGCTCCACGGCCGCCACATGGACCTCCAGGAAGGACACGGGGGAGAGTGGGACAGACAGGGAGGGACAGGCCAAGGTGGGGGGAGTGCTCAACCCACCTTATCTGCACACCTCCCTTGCTTGTTTCATATGCCGTGTTAACCTAAGATTCTATTTGAAGAAAGGAAGCTTGACTAGAAAACAAGGCCGGAATGGGCGAAGGCTCCTCTCAGCCCACTGTGCTCCACTGGCTCCAGAGATGGGGGAGGGGAGAGGGTGAGGCCATGAGGATGACACTTGCCAGAGAAATGTCCCTATGGCTGGGGTCTAAGACCTTCAGGATGACTTTTATTCTCTTCTCTTCAGAAGTTCCTTCGTCATCCTTGTAATCCGTGAGGGTCCCAGAGTAGATGTGTGTCCGCGTGCCTCTCCCAAGGTGCTCGCCCTGAAGGAGGAAGCGGGAGGTTAGTGAGACCCTCCCTGGGGCTGCAGTGATGCGGGTCTGAGTCCTCTGGCTGGGGGGGGGCGGGGGGGGGGGGCGCACACAACACGGCTCGGGTGGGACAACAGCAAAGGGACCCCCCGCAGCTCACGCCTCTTTGGGGCCTGGGCCTGTCAGGCCTCCAGAGGAACAAAAACCTACTCGGCCCAACACACAGGGGGCACTTCCTGGGCCACAGGAGACAATCCTCTTATTCTCTGAACAGCAACCTGCTGTGTCTCCCTCCAGGAACAGCCTGGGGCCAAAATATAAACCATGACCTTTTGCACAACTTCCAACAGTGCCATTAACAGCCACCAATGTTGGCCCCACCCTGGGCCTCCAGAGCAGGACTCAGCAGGAGGCTCCTCCACCCACAGGCTGTGGAATAGGAGAACAGGCTTGTGAGTCCTGGCCCTACTGCTTACAGGCCTTTGGGAGACTTTCTTTCATCACACTCAGTCTGCACCCGTTTTCTGTAAATGGGTTAACAGTCTCCTAGGGTTGGTGTTAATTATCAAATGAAGAATTAGGTAGAAAACTTCCTGGCACATAGTGAGCAGAAGTCAATCTGTTGACCAATGTGTTTTGTCTAACGCCCCCTGGTACCTATACATTTTCTACCCATCTGTCTGATGCACAGGTGTTAAGTGTGCATGCTTTCAAATTAGCAATACCATTTACACAGGCACACGCCCTAGCGATCCCTAGAGGAAGGTGACTGATACGCAGAGGTAGACACAGGAGGGACAGGCCTCAGTTTCCCCACATATGAAAAGGTAATAAAACCAAATGAGCAGCATAAGAGAACTAAATGAGATCATCTGCTCAAGGCCCTGAACATACAACGAACAATGATCTGTCTTTAAGGCCCTTTTAGCTTAAGCTTAGACTCTACCTGCAATGTGGGAGACCCAGGTTCGATCCCTGGGTCAGGAAGATTCCCTAGAAAAGGAAATGGCAACCCACTCCAGTATTCTCACCTGGAGAATTCCATGGACAGAGGAGCCTGGCGGGCTGCAGTCCATGGGGTCGCAGAGAGTCGGACATGGCTGAGCAACTAACGCACACACACAAAACTTAAGTTTTAATAATTCTGATTTAAATACTCTTAACATTTGAAGTGAATCCAAATGTGAGTCATGAAACTTAGGCATTGTCAAGGTAATGATATTAACCCCATAAAATGTGTAACTGGGAGTTCTATCATTCTACTGATATATATTATCCTAGGACCTCCTCTAAATACAGAAAATGCTTTGTGGCTGACTCCCTAGGCTGATTTCTGTCTCTCTTAAGAAGGTACACAATTGTTAGTTGGGTATATTAACTTGCACAAACGCCACCGTTTGTCATCTGTCACAGAATGGTGGTACATCTGCCCTGTCTCCTGCCCTGGCAAGGTCCTGTGACTATTCATTAAAGCTGCATCTGTCATGAAGCGATTCATCAAGGTTATGGGAAGTTGTGTTCCCAGAACATCCTGTAAAAGCCATATGCTTTCAGAATAATTACTGTTCCCCCAGAAGCGTTGCTTATTCCAGGGGCCAAGTCACAGCACTAGGCGGTAAGGATTCCACAGAGGCCCCTGCGTGTCCCACTCCAGTCTCCCTCCACGCTGCGCCCTCTGTCTTTGCTGAGTGCCTGTCCTGCTTTGATTCCACTTCCCCCAGGACGCCACTGCTATCCCAAGACCAGGCAGCATGGTCGTCTGACGGTCCCACATCCTGCCGTACCTCTACTTGGGACTGTCTCCTGGCAGTTTAATTATCTACTCAAGATAGATAAGAATCTGCCTCCCCCACCAGTCTGTGTGCCTGTGGAGGGTGGCGATCATGCCTGGCACGGGAAGTGCTCAGTCGCTCTTGGCTAAATAAACACTGGAGGCACAGAGGATGGCACAGAGACCCAGAGGCTCAAGGGGAAAGAGAGCAGGAAGACCCTGGGTACACGTCAAGTTCCAGGAAGAAAAGAGGCTGGGGTGCTGCCCATCTCTGGATACAGCTCTGATACCCTGAGGGAGAGAACAGTCAGATCTGCCCTCAGGAAACCATTTACATAGTGAAGCGGGGCATTTGCCACTGTGGACTTCCACTCCCTCAAGACCTCCTCAATAATTTCAGGAACTGATTTCAAACAGCAGATGAACAACCCAGCCTCACGCCTGCCACCCTTTGCCTGGTCCCCAGTGAGTGAGCCCACGACTCGCCCTCCAGCACCTCCAAGGTGGGGCAGCCTCTCTGGGGCAGTAAGCGGCCCTCACAGATTTCCTTCCCCCAGGCTGCTGGCACACGGGCTTAGTCTCCCCCTGCGTGTGGCTGTGTCAGGGGGCTGAGGAGGTGGGTGCAGAACAGAAAGGGGGGGTTCCCTGGACCTCATACCCTACAGGCCCAAGGGCAGCTACGAGGGAAACTGGGCCTGCCCAAGGCTGCAGATGCTGGGCTAAAGCCCTCTGGAGGCTGGAAAACTGGTCTGAGGGATCAGCGTCTGAGCACAGCTCCCTCCTTCAGGTCTGAACTGTGCGTCTCCTGCTCCCTCACCGTGCCCCGTGTGCCCTCAGCTTTGCCCCTTCTGGACACGCCATCAGAAAGCCCAGGACCGAGATTCAGAAGTGCCTCTCCAGCAGGTATGGGGCCACGAGGGTCATCAGCCTATCATCCGCTATGGGGATCTGTCAACACTCCCACCAAATTCTCTAACTACTTCTAGGGTCGGTCCCTACAGCTATAGGAACCGGGAATGGAAGGTCCCTATAGCCCCAGATAACTGCTCAAAAACTGACTAAGCCAGTTCCTTCAAGGAGAAAGTCTAGGGTGGACAGCAGGGCATCTGCTGGTTGACCAGCTTCACCTATGAAAGGGAAGCCCCCTTGTTCATCGGATCTCTGCAAACATGACTTCGTTCTCCCCAGGTTCCCCAGGCTTCTCCACTCTGGGGAGGCAGGGCCAGGTCTGGACACAGGAATGGCAGCAATGACTCACTTGCGTAATATCTTTCTTGAGGATTCGATCAAAACTCAGCTGGCTCATGGTGTAGACAGGCTGCCACTCCTGGGCTTTCTTGGTGGCCACCAGCAGATTGGAGATTTCTATGGAAGAAAGAGAGAGAAGTCTGAGTGGAGCGGTGAAGGTGTAAGGCCCCAGTCACCGACATCTCCTGGGCCATGGGCTTGCTCACGTGTGCATTTGTTGGTTCCGTCACTCAACAGATATTTACTAAGTACTTGATTCCTGCCCTCCAGGAGCTCATCAGCAAGGCTAATAACAGAGCCAATATGAATCAAATAATCAATCAAAATCTGTGCCGCTACTCTTAAAGGGCAGGTGGTCCGGGGTTGACACAGCAGGATCTGCACTGGTAAGAGGGGTCGGGGAGGAAATGAAACGTTAGAAGCCGAGAACAGAAACTCTGTAAGGTAGGGCCTGTGTCTGTATTATTTCCTGCTCTGCCTCCACAGCCTGGTACACAGTAGGCACTCAAAAATACTTGCTAAACGTGTGAATGAAGAACAGGGTGTGGGCTGAAGGATGAGAACTAAGGATAGAGGAAGCACACCGGGAGTGACAGGAACCAAAATCGGAGGGTGAAAAGCCCAGGTTCCGTGAAGAACAGGGTGGGTGGCCCAAAAAAGACGGCTGTGCCTGAGGCTCTCTAGTTCCCAGCACTGCCCGACAACAAGGAGGCATTTAGTGAACTGCTGGCTGAATGTTCAGATTTCAAGCAGACCAACCCCCAGATACTACTGATTCAAATGACAAACTAGACCCATTATAAAATCTGCTAAGTCAGGGTCAGCACAGGTGGCTAACTGGGAACTTATAATCCATGCAAGTCGCCTTCCCACCGTGGAGCCACTCTGAGCTCCAAGGTTAACGTGAGGGAAGAAAGCACCTTCCAGATCGGACCAGTTGAGTATTCATCCACTGTCTTTGAGCAATGGGCCAAGTGACTCACAGCCTCTCTACCCTGCCAGGCAGGATTTGTTTTTCTTTTGTTTTTTTCAGCTCACACTTTCTGACTACCTTCTCTGTGCCAGCCACTGTCCTGAAGAGCTTTATACACATTAGCTCCTGTCCTTATGACAATCCTATGAGATATATAGTATTCTTATCCCCTTATAGATCAGAAAAACAGATTCAGAGCTATTAAATCATTTGCCCACGGTCAGGCTCTGGATTCATGCTGCATTCAGGGCTGACTCCAGTCTCTTGCCTCCACAGCATGGCTGGCCCTAGAGGAAAGGGGTACAAATCTGGGAGCCAAAAGCTGGTTCAGATACAGGCTCCCCCGTAATCATACCCTGAGTACCCACGTTTTTAGAGTCTCCTCTCCTCCATTCTGTTATCCTGCCTCTAACCCTGTTACCTGGGAAAAATCAGGTTCAAGCAGGCAACTCTGGAGAAAAGACATGAAGAAAGGGCCACCTGCGTGGTGCCCAAGGGAAGGGTTTAGGCAGTAGAGCCACAGAGGAAATCAGAGAAGAGAACGGGAACAGGGGCCATTTGTGGGCCAGTTATTTGCATGGCCACTTCAGAGAACATGGCACTAGGATCAAGAGTGGGGAAAGCTGTTAAACCTCCATGAACCTGTTTCCTTACTACAAAAATGGGGCACACAGTTATGCTCCTCACTGGGCTGCTGTGAGGGATAAACGAGATGATGCCCGTGAAGGGCCAATGCCTGGTGGGAGGTGACTGCCCCATAACTGGCAGCCCCTGTGCCTATGACCGGTATCACATCTGCCAGCGCCTTCATCTGTGTTGTACCACCTGGTTCCTGGAGCTTTGGCAATGATCTGCTAAGTCCTCAGTGTCAGAGCTGAACCGTGTAGAAATCAAGCTCCAAGATTTGACTGTACGGATAAGAACGTGAGAGAATCAGTGGTAACTGGTCAATAGTTCCCCATCTCTTAACACGGTCACCCTCAGACTTGGAGAGGGGCAGCAGCACTGGGCAATGCACAAGAGGAGACTTTCTTGACTATCACACTCATTCTGAGTGGCTGCCTGATTTTATTTATTCCATGAAGTTTCTTGGGTGCATTTAAGTGTGAAACCCAGGCTGGGGTGTGGCCATCGGAAGCCTGTGCTCAGAAGGCCTGAGGCACTGAGAAACTCAAAATGACTGTCTCTTCAGTTTTCACAATTTTGCCACTTCTCTAATTTGCAGGTGGCAGAGGGAAGACAGAGGCTTCTGAGGGCCTATGTGGAAAAGCCACCCACATACCGCATAGTCTCACTCTAACCCCCACAGCACCCACCCCCAAGGTCAGCAGAACTGACCCTCACCCCAGAGTCTTGGGCTGGTAACTGCACTTGTAACCCTACAGAGGGTGTGATATAGGGGAAAGATCACTGTGGTTGGAGTCGGAAAACGTGAGTTCAAATTGCCATGCCTCCTCTAGCTATCTAAGCAATCTTGGGTAAGTATAATAGGTAACAACATACTACGGATTATTATGAAGATTAATTAACTTAAACTATGGAAGGACCTCAAATGGTGCCTGGCAAACTTAAGAATTACTCACATGATAGTAGACGACAGCAGCCATTATCACCATTATTATTTACTGCTACTCTTTTTTTTTTTAATTGCTACTCTCAGTGTAACCACTAGCGATACGACCAGTTGTATGATTTTGAACAAGTCAGTGAATATCTCTGATCCTCAATTTCCTCATATTTATAATAGCTACAAAGAGCTAACTTAAAAATGCAGATAAACTGCTTGGGACTAGTAGGTACACACCAGTGTGGTAGCTGCTGCTCTAACTATTCACTCGACAGACATAAGGGAGCACCCATCCTGTGCTGGGTGCTGCCTCTCCCGTGAATCATCGTGGTGAGACCCAGATCCTGTCTTAAAAGCTTATAATCAAGTGGAGAGACAAACACTGAACATTACACTCGGTGCAGTGTTCCAGAAGCCTCAACAGAAGCCGTGAGAAGGGTTCAATCCTGTTCCTGTGTTTCTCCCACCACAGCCACCAGTTTCCAGTGAGGTGGCAACTACACCAGAAGCCTCCCCAGCTAATTCCAGCAGAGAAATCACATCCCTGTCTCCAATCTGCTGCCACCTTCTCGTTTCCCAGGCCTGCTGCTCTCCATTTCCTCAGCCTCGTCCTGAACCCACTAATCCCTAGGAAAGCAAAAACTGCCTCTCTTATCTGGAAGGAGAGACTATGCAAGTGAATAGAGTTGCTGGGCTCTAAGGTTATAGTTCACCCTGAGGTCTCACATCAAGAGGCAGATGTGTTTTTACCTTTGCAGAGTATCTTCAAGCACAAAAACAAAGGCTGCAAGCTACACCCCCAGACTGGCAGGAAACCCTATCTGATCAACAAGCACACAAGTCCTTCCTCTTTCACCAAGTTCAATGACAGTGCCTTAGGAGACCAAAAAGCAATTCAAACATCAAGCACCCAGGCCCCTTTTTGTGTTGGTGTTGCTTCCTCTGCTCACCCCGACTGTAAAGACTCACAGATGCACTCCGTTAAAAGACAGACTAGAGACCTCTTCAAGAAAATCAGAGATACCAAAGGAACATTTCATGCAAAGATGAGCACAATAAAGGACAGAAATGGTAAGGACCTAACAGAAGCAGAAATATTAAGAAGAGGTGGCAAGAATACATAGAAGAACTGTACAAAAAGATCTTTATGACCCAGATAACCATGATGGTGTGATCACTAACCTAGAGCCAGACATCCTGAAACATGAAGTCAAGTGGGCCTTAGGAAGCATCACTGCCAACAAAGCTAGCGAAGGTGATGGAATTCCAGTTGAGCTATTTCAAATCCCAAAATATGATGCTGTTAAAGTGCTGCACTCAATATGTCAGCAAATCTGGAAAACTCAACAGTGGCCACAGGACTGGAAAAAGTCAGTTTTCAACCCAATCCCAAAAAAAGGCAATGCCAAAGAATACTCAAACTACTGCACAATTGCACCCACCTCACATGCTAGCAAAGTAATGCTCAAAATTCTCCAAGCCAGGCTTCAGCAGTACGTGAACCATGAACTTCCAGATGTTCAAGCTGGATTTAGAAAAGGCAGAGGAACCAGAGATCAAATTGCCAACATCTGCTGGATCATCAAAAAAGCAAGAGAGCTCCAGAAAAACATCTACTTCTGCTTTATTGATGATGGCAAAGCCGTTGACTGTGTGGATCACAACAAACTGTGGAAAATTCTGAAAGAGATGGGAATACCAGACCACCTGACCTGCCTCCTGAGAAATCTGTATGCAGGTCAGGAAGAAACAGTTAGAACTGGACATGGAACAACAGACTGGTTCCAAATAGGAAAAGGAGTATATCAAGGCTGTATATTGTCACCCTGCTTATTTAACTTATATGCACAGTACATCATGAGAAATGCCACACTGGATGAAGCACAAGCTGGAATCAAGATTGCTGGGAGAAATATCAATAACCTCAGATACACAGATGACACCACCCTTATGGCAGAAAGTGAAGAAGAACTAAAGAACCTCTTGATGAAAGTGAAAGAGGAGAGTGAAAAAGTTGTCTTAAAGCTCAACATTCAGAAAACTAAGATCATGGCATCTGGTCCCATCACTTCATGGCAAATAGATGGGGAAACAGTGCTGACTTTATTTTCCGGGGCTCCAAAATCACTGCAGATGATGACTACAGCCATGAAATTAAAAGACCCTTACTCCTTGACAGAAAAGCTATGACCAACCTAGACAGCGTATTAAAAAGCAGAGACATTATTTGACCAACATAGGTCCTTCTAGTCAAAGCTATGGTTTTTCCAATAGTCATGTATGGATGTGAGAGTTGGACTATAAAGAAAGCTGAGCGCCGAAGAGTTGATGGTTTTGAACTGTGGTGTTGGAGAAGATGCTTGAGAGTCCCTTGGACAGCAAGGAGATCCAACCAGTCCATCCTAAAGAAAATCAGTTCTGAATATTCGTTGGAAGGACTGATGATGAAGCTGAAACTCCAATACTTTGGCCACCTGATGCGAAGAACTGTCTCATTGGAAAAGACCCTGTTGCTGGGAAAGATTGAAGGCAGGAGGAAAAGAGGACAACAGAGGATGAGACGGTTGGATGGCATCACTGATGCGCTGGACCTGAGTTTGAGTAGGCTCTGGGAGTTGGTGATGAACAGGGAAGCCTAGAGTGCTGCAGTCCATGGGGTCGCAAAGATTCAGACACGACTGAGCAACTGAACTGAGAATGTCTTTGACCACACTTGCTGGGTCCTCAGGAACAACTGTGCTGCCCTTTCTGTAAGGCCTGACTCCTCCTAAGAAAGGGATCTGACATATGCAGGACAGTACCGTGTGGCAGAGAAACATCAAAATAATTGGTACTCAAGGGATTTGGCACTGGGGATAGACCTGGCACTCAAAACCCCTTTGACCTTGGCCTTCAAAGAGACCCACTTCACATCTCCAGATCTGTTTCCTCTCCTATAAGATGGGACACTGATCAAGTGCCCCTATGTGTCCTTCCAGTTTTCATATTCTAAGAGGTGATGAATCTACCAGCAGGACATCAATGATATTGTCGATGGGGCTTAAAAAAGAGCAATCACTGGGGAATCCTACCAAACATACAAAGAAAAACTTACATCAATCCTTCTTGAACTCTTTCAAAAGACTCAAGAGGAGAGAACACTCTCAAATTCATTTTATGAAGCCACCATCTTCCTGATACTAAAACCAAATACTAAAACAACAGCAAGAAAGAAAATTATAGGTCAGTATCTCTAATGAATACAGATGCAAAACTCCTCAATAAAATACTAGCAAATGTAATTCAGCAACACATAAAGAGGATCACACACCATGATTGCGATGGATTCATCTCAGGGTCACAAGAATGGTTCAACAAACACAAATCAATCTATGTGATACACCACATCAACAAAAGAAAAGACAAAAACCATATGATCATCTCAATAGATGCAGAAAAAGCATTCGATAAAATTCAACATCTATTTAAAATGGATGAGAGAGGGAACATATCTCAGTAAAGCATGGAAACCTAAATGTCCACTGACAGATGAATGCATAAAGAAGGTGTGCAATATAGAGAGACACATATAAATATATACACACACATACACAATGCATGTCTGATATACACACACAATGCAATACAGAGAGACATACATAAATACACACACACACAGGATGCATGTCTGATATACACATACACAATGCAATACAGAGAGACATACATAAATATACACATACACAATGGAATATTATTCAATCATAAGAAGTATGAAATAATGCCATTTTCAGGAACATGGATGGACCTACAGATTATCAGACTAAGTGAAGTCAGTCAAACAGAGAAAGACAAAAATCATATGATCACTCACATATGGAATGAACTTATTTCTAAAAGAGAAACAGACTCACAAACACAGAAACCAAACTTATGGTTACCAAAAAGGAAATGGAGTGCATGTCAGGGTAAACTAGGAATCTGAAATTAGCAGACACAAACTACTATATATAAAAATAGATAAACAAAGTCCTACTGTATAGCACATGGCACTATATTAAGCATTTTGTAATAAACTATAATGGAAAAGAATCTGAAAAACTATACAGATAAGTAAAACACTTTGCTGTACATCAGAAACACAACATTGTAAATCAGCAATAATTCCATTTCAAAAAAAGAGCAAGGGGATTTATGTATATGTATGATTGATCCATTTTGCTATGTGGTAGAAGCTAATACAGCATTGCAAAGCAAGTTTACTACAATAAAAATTAATGTAAAGACAGCGAAGTTCCTCGCCTCTTCTATCCATTTCACGCTGTGATCCACTCATGACTCCTCACTGCCTGCATAATAAAGTCCCAGTTCCACGGTGTGGCAACCAAGGCCTCCAATGATCCTGAGTCTCTACACTCTTTGCCTCCCCCTCCCTTCTTTCTAAGTGCACTGAACACATTCAGTTCAGTTCAGTTGCTCAGTCGTGTCTGAATCTTTGCGACCCCATGAACCGCAGCACGCCAGGCCTCCCTGTCCATCACCAACTTCCGAAGCCTACACAAACTAGTGTCCATTGAGTCGGTGATGCCATCCAACCATCTCATCCTCTGTCCTCCCCTTCTCCTACTGCCCTCAACCTTTCCCAGCATCACGGTCTTTTCAAATGAGTCAGCTCTTCCCATCAGGTGGCCAAAGTATTGGAGTTTCAGCTTCAACATCAGTCCTTCCAATGAACATCCAGGACTGATCTCCTTTAGGATGGACTGGAAGGATCTCCTTGCTGTCCAAGGGACCCTCAAGAGTCTTCTCCAACACCACAAGTTCAAAAGCATCAATTCTTTGGCACTCAGCTTTCTTCACAGTCCAACTCTCACATCCATACATGACTACTGGAAAAACCATAGACAGACCTTTGTTGACAAAGTAGTGTCTTGACTAGAAAAACCTTGACTAGACAGACCTTTGTTGGCAAAGTAATGTCTCTGCTTTTTAATATGCTGTCTAGGTTGGTCATAATTTTCCTTCCAAGGAGTAAGCGTCTTTTAATTTCATGGCTGCAATCACCATCTGCAGTGATTCTGGATCCCAAAAAAATAAAGTCAGCCACTGTTTGCACTGTTTCCCCATCTATTTGCCATGAAGTGATGGGACCGGATGCCATGATCTTAGTTTTCTGAATGTTGAGCTTTAAGCCAACTTTTTCACTCTCCTCTTTCACTTTCATCAAGAGGTTCTTTAGTTCTTCTTCACTTTCTGCCATAAGGGAAGGGTGGTGTCATCTGTGTATCTGAGGTTATTGATGTTTCTCCCAGTAATCTTGATTCCAACTTGTGCTTTATCCAACCCAGTGTTTCTCATGATGTACTCTGCATTTAAGTTAAATAAGCAGGGTGACAATACACAGCCTTGATGTACTCCTTTCCCTATTTGGAACCAGTCTGTTGTTCCATGTCCAGTTCTAACTGTTGCTTCCTGACCTGCATAAAGGTTTCTCAAGAGGCAGGTCAGGTGGTCTGGTATTCCCATCTCTTTCAGAATTTTCCACAGTTTACTGTGATCCACATAATTAAAGGTTTGGGCATAGTCAATAAAGCAGAAGTAGATATTTTTCTGGAACTCTCTTGCTTTTTCGATGATGATCCAGCAGATGTTGGCAATTTGATCTCTGGTTCCTCTGCCTTTTCTAAATCCAGCTTGAACATCTGGAAGTTCATGGTTTACGTACTGCTGAAGCCTGGCTTGGAGAATTTTGAGCATTACTTTACTAGCACGTGAAATGAGTGCAATTGTTTGGTAGTTTCAGCATTCTTTGACATTGCCTTTCTTTGGGATTGGAATGAAAACTAACCTTTTCCAGTCCTGTGGCCACTGTTGAGTTTTCCAAATTTGCTGACATATTGAGTGCAGCACTTTCACAGCATCATCTTTTAGGATCTGAAATAGCTCAACTGGGATTCCATCACCTCTACTAGCTTTGTTCGTAGTGATGCTTCCTAAGGCCCACTTGACTTCACATTCCAGGATGTCTGGCTCTAGGTGAGTGATCACACCATTGTGATTAACTGGGTCATGAAGATCTTTTTTATACAGTTCTTCTATGTATTCTTGCCACCTCTTCTTAATATCTTCTGCTTCTGTCAAGTCCATACCATTTCTGTTCTTTACTGAGCCCATCTTTGCATGAAATGTTCCCTTGGTATCTCTAGTTTTCTTGAAGAGATCTCTCGTCTTTCCCATTCTATTGTTTTCCTCTATTTCTTTGCACTGATCGCCTAGAAAGGCTTTCTTATCTCTCCTGGCTATTCTTTGGAACTCTGCATTCAAATGGGAATATCTTTCCCTTTCTCCTTTGCTTTTTGCTCCTCTTCTTTTCACAGCTATTTATAAGGCCTCCTCAGACAACCATTTTGCTTTTCTGCATTTCTTTCTCTTGGGGATGGTCTTGACCCCTGTCTCCTATACAATGTCACGAACACATTAGCCCTCTTACAACTTTTCTGCAGTGTCTACATCTGCCTTCTGCTTTGCCCTGCACATGCGTGTTGGGAATTCCCTTAGCTAACTGGCAACACTGCTCACTGTCCAACACTTGGCTCAAGATCCACCTCCTGTGTAGCCATCCACACCATGTGACTCCGGGATCTTGACCATCCTCTCCTCCTTAACCCCAGGGCCTAATATGTGTGTGTATTATGCTGATGATCATATGCTGCAGTGGCCTCATTTACCTGTAACATTTTTTTGTATTAGGCTGGAATCCCTTGGGAGACAGGGACTGAGTCATGTGCATTTCTCTGTGACTCTAACATAATCCTTGGCCCACAGAAGATGTGCCAGGACCATTTTTCAGACAGACCACTGTCAGTTCAGATAAACCACTGACAGGGGAACTCTCAGGACATTTTATCAAAAGGAAGAAAAAAAAATTCTTGCTTACTAATCTTAAACATGCCTCTTTCTGCAGCTTAACTGAGACACTGAGAAAAGGTGTATGTCTTTTCTACAGAAAATGCTGACACCCGAGGAATAGGATCTGAACCAGGGACAGACGTGTAACAAAACTCAATGAAAAACACCTAGAATTTGTTGGGGAAGGACCATTTGCTTCAAAGCGCCCAGCATCTTTTGGTTTTTCTGGGTCTCGGAGCATGGTGAGGGGATGCAGCCTGCCTCTGGTTGGAGAGACTGACCTCGGGGCTTGGGCTGGCAGCAGCGCTTCAGCACAAAGCTGATGTTGTCCGTGCGCAGGATCTGCTTCTTTAGGTGGCTCATGAGGTCCCCAAGGCTCGGGAAGCTGCGGTCCGAGCCATGCAGGCTGTAGCGGCCCTTCTGCACCTCGATCTGAAAGTTCTTGAACTGTTTCTGGATACCCAGCACCTGCCATTTAGAAAAATGATCAGGAAGAATTTGTTTTAAAAGGGGTCAGGCAAACCTCTCCTGGGTATGTATGATGTTAACAACAGGAGAAGCCAGGTGGAGGACAAACAGAAGCTCCATACTATCTATGTAACATTTCTGTAAATCTAAAATTATTTAGAAATGAAAAGCTTATTATATGTAAATGAAATAAAAATAAAGGTAAACATTATCTAATAATATATAATGTTATCTAATAATAACATTAGAAATAATATCTAATAAAGGAGATCCAGGAGAAGGTGCTGATAAATGGGAGTTATTAATAACACCAGGGAAACAGTCTCACACAGAGACATGATTTCCACAAGAGCATCACTTTATTTTGGCACTCAAAATGAACTCCATGAAAACACCGACCTCAGCACTGTGGCTACAGTTATATGGCAAGGTGCACGTGGAAAAGCAAGCACTTTATAGGGGCTTTCCTGGTGGCTCAGAGGTAAAGAATCCACCTGCAATGCGGGAGACCTGGGTTGGGAAGATCTTCTGGAGGAGGGCATGGCAATTGACTCCAGTATTCTTGCCTGGAGAATCCCCATGGACAACAGGAGCATGGCTGGCTACAGTCTATGGGATCACAAAGAGTCAGACACGACTAAGCATAGCACAGCAAGCACTTTATAGCGGTTAGCAAATATTATTACATATGAAATAAGTACTACAGCAAAATGTATCCAGGAACTCCCTCAAACTGAGCTCTTCTAAGAACCTGTGGGGAGGTGGGCGACGGCTGTCTGGTCTCGTTTCCGGGTTGCATGGTGCCCCAGAGAGGAAGTACAGCAGAAGCTTTCCTTCATGAGAACTTTTGTACAAAGAACACTATTTTCGTGGTTAAAATAAGGGCCAGAAAGATCTGCTTATGGTGTAAACTAAGACAAGATATTTAACATCTTGATGCCTCAGTTTCTTCATCTGTACAATGGTGATAATGCAACCTGTCTCAAAGGGCTATAGTAAGGCTTAAATGAGAGTATACAGGTAAAGTGCTCAGCACAATGTCAGCGTAGCTGAAGCAAACAGTAGGAGTGACCCTGTGTCTGATTCCTGTTTTCCCCAGGTAACCTGACACCAGGTAGACCATGGGACTGAATCACTGACATTCTTGGTACAGCACAGATCAATTCCACGTCCAAAGGTGGCTGGGCCGTCTCATGCTCCCACCCCTCGTAAAAACATAAAAGTTCCTCCAAAGACTGGCTGAATGCAGAAGAAAGGAATCCTGCCAAGGCAACAGGCCTGCCAGATGCTGAGCCAGTGCACCTGTATCAGCCCCCAGGCCGTGGTGTCCAGGAGCACCCCCGGCGAGCAGTGGCCCCTCCAGGCTTCACCCAGGACTCGGGCAGCACTGGGCTCCTTCCACCACTTCCCCCTTCACCCCTGACTGAGTCCAGCCCCAGGCATTGGCCTATACTTTTCCTCCCGTGTCTGAGGCCTGCAGTACATTCACAGGCTGACCCTCACCTGGCGGGCCCCTCCCCCACCTCAGTTCTCCCAGTTCATGGTGAACGCAGTCAACACTAGTGTATTTATCTGGACTAATTCTGTAAAACTCTCTCTTTTAAAGTAGTCCATTCCTTGTATTTTTTTAAAAATTACATGAATTACAAAGCACTATGGTTTAGTAAGCCCAAGTCAGGAATTCAGCTTCTACCTGAACCAAAATCTTAGGATTTCTCTCACATCATTCCCAGCTTCCAACCACACCCAAGTCACTAACAGAAATCTTGTTAAAATGCAGGACAGCAATTTGTCTTGTAAAATGCCTGCAGCTACCATCTGGGGAAAACTGTGTTAAGCCAGATTTCCAATAGGTCTTATTGGCGCAGGTCTGTACCAGTGAATGACACAGACAGACATAGCTCTGGGTCTGTGATGGCGCCGAGTATAAAATAAACCACTCTAAGCCACTGCGTGTTTTGTGTGAGCTAGTTTTCTGGCCACATTCCACCTTCCAGAGCACAGAGAACCCTGCCATGGGTCCCCTTAAGGAAGAAACAAAGGGTCTTAAGGACAAAAGGGTCAGCTGCCTGGAAGCGGGCTCCGTCTGGAGTGCAGACGGCCCGTGTCGGAACTGCAGGGGTTCCTCAGAGGCCCCGGCCTTTCTACTCCCACCCGCAGGGTGGTCCTCGCTGCGGAAGCTCCTGGATGAGGCTGAGTATGGCCCGAGCCAGTGTCCCAGCTGACCTCAGATTTTTCAAAGCAGGTGACAGTCATGAGGATGTTGTCGAAGTCGGTGCAGCTCCACCGCAGCACGTACATCCCCTCCTCACTGCCTTCTTGCCGCAGCTTATTGATGGCATATTCTGTGCTAGAAGGAGAGAGAAGCAGAGAGAGAGAGCTCACACCAAACAGAAGCACTCCAAACCCACGGGACGTCCACTTCCCTCAGCTGCCTCAAGTCTGATATCCCCTCGTATTACCTGTCCTGGGTCCTAACGTCCTCTCCTGTATAAGACATGAGGCAGCCTGAGATGCTGAGAAGCCTCAAAACAGAGCAGGTCTCCAAGGTCAAGAAGGGGGCTCAGCCCACTGCCCCTGAGCCCACCCATCCCCGACTTTCCCACACACACTGACTCCAGTCTAGCCAGAAGAGCTCCCCCAGGGCTGGGACATGGAGCTGCCGTGATGCTGTGGTGGGGGTCCCTCCACCACCTCCCCAGGCTGCACAACTAGAACATGAGCCTCAGGACAGCAGGAATTTGGGACTGTTCTGTTCATTGCTGTATCCACAATAACCAGAGCATGCCTGGCTCATAGCAGCTTATCATATCACTTATCAATAGATAAGTGAGTAACTGAGAAATAAACACTGAATACAGAAATCAACGAGAACTGAAAAGCCTGAGTAGAAAACATGCCTGTCCGACACTCCTGTGTCCCCAGGATGGACGAGCCCTACACAGAGAAGGCAGTGAACAAACAGCTGCTAAGTAAGTCCGCACAGGAAGTTACTACATCCAGTGAGTCCTGCTCTCTGGGTGCTGGCAAGGGGGCTGTGAGGTCAACATGTGTTAGAAAGACACCGAGGGCTCCAGTCACTGGGTGATGAGGGCAGGCAGACAGAACCAGAGTACATAAACTGAACGTGGCAGAAGGTCATAAACACCACTGGGACAAACAACGCCGAGTGAAGGAGTCAGGCAGGCAGCGTGGGGTACAGAGAGGGAGGAGGTGTCATCGTGTTACATAAGGTGCTCAGCGAAGACGCCGCCGGTAAGGCGACATGCGAGTGACCCTGAAGGAAGTGGTGGCTGAATGGACTCGGGAGGGAGGGCTTTCCAGTGTAAGGGGAGAAGCAGGTGCCACAGCCCTGACACTTAGCTACAGCTGGGATATCTGAGGGCCAAGCTTCATTATAAAGCTCAGCCCTTGCTCTGCAATTCCGCGTGTGTCTGTGGGAGCCTCTCCACGCCGGGACCACACCACTGACAAATGCCGGTCCACAAGGCAGCCGGGATTGGGAACAAGTGGGGACCGCTTCGTGAGAAAGGAGGCTGAAGAGGGCTTCCGCAGATACACTGGTCTGGAGGAGACTCAGGAAAAACACAGCGGCTGTGTTCTTCTGCCTGAAGGACAGTCACGGATGAGAGGAAGTTGAATTGCTACCGCTCCAAACGGCAGAACTCAGATGAGCAGACAGGACTTACAGGCAGGCAGACCTCAACTCAAGTCAGAAAGGTGAGCAAGGCTGCAGAGCTCCAAGCTGCTCGCTGCCTTGTGAAGCACTAGGGGCGCCATCACCAGACGTGTCTGAGATGCAGGTGGGACGAGACACCCAGCAGAGCCCCTTCCAGCACCAAGGCGGGCTCACCCTCACTGCACACCTGGCACCGCAGGACGAGCCCACTCAGGATCCTGTTTCTCACCACACCATGTGCTGCTGAGATCTGTGTGCTCTTTCTCGAATCACCCAGAGCGTCTGGCACAGCAAGGAGTTAGGATATGTAGTGCTTCTGGGTCAGCTACGGAGAGGTGAGGGGTTCAACTGTGAGGACACCCACATAAGGGAGAAGAGGTGACGGGAAGGCCTGGCCAGGACAGCAGGGACAGTCAAGGGCACCAAGGAAGTACTCAGCCTAATGCTCAATGATGCCCATGCCTGAGAGGCCACGCTCCCCCTCATCTCTCTGTTCTTTTCACACCAAAGGTAACTGGAAAAGTTATCGAACCAACCAGATTGGACCATGACAGCCATTCTGTATGTTGTGGACGATCAGTGGGGGAGCCACGTCGGTGCAGAGGTAGTGATGGGCGTCTGCCGTGAGCCGGAAATAGCCGTCCACCAGGGACACGAAGGACAAGGCCTCCTCGTGGGAAGAGAGCTTCAGCTCCTGCAAGAGAGCAGAAATGCCCGTGGGTACATCACACGCTGGCCACCTCAAGCAGCAGCTGACTCTCTGGGCAGATACACAGTGAGAAGATATTCATGTTTAACACAATGGAGGATGCATGAGCCCATAGCGAAGCTCCCTTTGTTGACAGTAACTGCACCCTTGCATTTATAAATGGTTCTGGCTGTTCGCCACACTCTTTCTTCTATTACCTCAAACCTTTTTCGGATGAGGACTAGTGTACGTGGGGGGAGCAGGGGACAGGCAGCTGTGCGGGAGACATGAGACCATGGAGAAGCTGCCCCCTAGGACCAGATGGAAGAGCAAGGCTGATTCAAGGTGGCAACGACATGTAAGAGTGGAGGCGGGAAGAGCAGAGAGTGTGCAGGTGGTACCCTGGTCCTGGCACTACACATTATTCCTGCTTATAGAAAAAGAAAGAGGCATAGGTGCTTCATCCCATCCAGAGCTGGTTCAGAAGGTGAAACTCTGGATTTTAGTTCAGGAATGGTCCCAGACACAATGATGTGGTTGTGAGATTAAATCCAGGGACCTCTGAGGGTCTGGAGGAGGCACAGTCTTACAGTGGGAGAGGCAAAGGCAAAAAGAGAGGAGGAGGAGGGAGGGAGTTTTCATGGAAGGAAGAAAAATGCTCGGAGGTGAAGACAGGTGAGGTTTTTGTCTTAATCTTATAACCCTGAGCAGAGATGAGCATTTATTTGAGTGGAATTGTGGGGTCAACCAGGAACATCTGATGAAGGAAGGTATGTAAAGCCATGATTTAGAGCTTTGGCTCACAAAAATCCTAACATTAACACACACTGGAGCCTTAAGAGAAGGGCAAAATGACACTTGAGTATAACACTCTTTCCATAACAATGGATAAAGAAAAGGCTGGTGGCAGAGATGAGACCAATGAAGGGGTAGGGGAGAGAGGGATATAAGCAACTAGTAGAATGGAGGCAAAGGGCTAATAATGAGAATTAGCTATGATGCCAATGGAAAGGTGCTTTGGGGTTGTGAGCCAAGGAGGCCAAGAGGGGGCAGGACTACCACAGGGATGGTGATCCAGGTGTGCTAAGTGTGCTTCCTTTCAGGTGTGACCCAGCATCTCCCTGCAGAGCCCCAAAGAGCAAATGCAAGACAGTCTGGCTTGGGTAGCCCTTCACCCAATCACATACAAATGAAACCATGTAAGTGCTTAAGTTCTCTGAAAGCAGAAGTCTGAATAGAAAGGGGAGATGTCAAGAAGATGCAGACAGAAGAGATAAGTCAAGATATGATTTGATAACATGGTAGTATCATGCTTTCCTGAAAGCGGCAATCAAAACACAGCTTGGAAATCCCACAGCTGGGAAGGGATCGGGGAATGAGATAAATAAGAAAAAGCATCACACAGGGTTAACCCACCAGCTTCAGGAGCCAGTTTATCTGGGTTCAAATCTCAGGGTCTTTATGTACATTTAAGCATATGTAATCATCATTTTTTGTCAAAAATTATCAAATATCAGCAATTTCAAATGATTTAATGTCACAGTTGTATGACCTTGGCTGAGTTATTTAGCTTTTTTTGTGCCTCAGATTCCTCCTTCCTAAAATGAGAATAATAAAATACCCACCTCATATAGTCAATAAGAAAATGAAAAGAGTTGGTATTTGCAAAGCCTTTATGACAAAAAGTACCTGGTTCATAGCAGGCTTCGTATTTGTAAATGAAAAAGTAACGAGGAGATCAAGTACGGGTTTTTTCTTGCCTCCCCCGGCCCCACAAGCATGGTAGCTTGGCACAGAGCGGCCAGCCTGGGTGGCCAGGGTGAGCCCTGGCCTAGATGACAGGTGCACCATCTGGGTGCTGCCCTTGACTCTGTCAGCTAGGACAGGACAGGGAAGGCTCTCAAAGCCTGCATCCACTGGCTGCTGTTCCTTCTTCTCGGCCACGTCTCCGGGGTTTGGCCATGTTGAACAGCCAGACCACAGATGTGCCAAGCTCTCCCTCGCTACGGAGTCCCTGGGGGAGAGGACACCTTGGGGCCCAAATGAGTATAGGCTGGAGCTGACCCTCTGAAAGTTTCTATAGCTCTCCCGAAGTCTCAAGATTTCCCACTGGAGGTGGAGTCAAAATCCTGACAATATGGCTTAATATCTGTAACATGCTGACTGCTGCTGCTGCTGCTGCTAAGTCACTTCAGTCATGCCCGACTCTGTGCAACCCCAGAGACGGCAGCCCACCAGGTTCTTCTGTCCCTGGGATTTTCCAGGCAAGAATACTGCAGTGGGTTGCCATTTCCTTCTCCAAATATGCTGAATAAACAGCATTTATTTCTGTTTTCTCCCTCTTGCCATTTTCCACGTCTCCACTAACATCTATCTGGGCTCTTCCATCACATTTTTACAACAGTTTTCTAAGGCAATCAATGTATCTTTATTTTTAAAAAGGGAGGATGGGGAGAATTAAAAGTTAAAATCACTCATAATATCATCATAAACAAATAGTTGTTAATATATGATTATTTTCCTAAGAGCATGTGCATGCTTTAAACTTTTTACAACAAAATTGGTTCCATTAAGTTTCATATTCTGCTTTTTTCCATTTATGAAGTATTCTTCCAGATTTTTAAAAATTCAGCTATTTGTTTAAATAATACTCAGAGGAGTTGTATTTTATGTTCTCGTTTTCCTATAATTATATATGCAGGTTAGTTTCAGCATTTTTGACACTGTAAATACTGCTTGGGATAAACATTCTCATTCATCGACCACTGCCTGCATCTCACTTTTTCTAAAAGACCCCTCATTTCCTTAATGGAGGGATATGTAGATATTTTCAAGCCTTTTAATACATGTTATCTTGGAGAGCGAGGAGATCAAACTAGTCAATCCTAAAGAAAATCAACCCTGAATATTCACTAGAAGGACTGATGCTGAAGCTCCAATACTTTGGCCACCTGATGAGAAGAGCTGACTCACTGGAAAAGACTCTGATTCTGGGAAAAGACTGAGGGCAGGAGGAGAAGGTTGATGAGATGTTTGGATGGCATCGACTCAGTGGACATGAGTCTGAGCAAACTCTGGGAGATGGTAAAGAGCAGAGAAGCATGACATGCTGCAGTCCACGGGGTTGCGAAGAGCTGGACATGACTAAGCAACTAAACAATAACAAATCAAACTGCTTTCCCAAAAGGTATACCCAAAAGACTAATTACTCTAGATATAAAAGGATGGCCACTTGTCCTAAACTGCATCACCAGATTCTTTCCCAGCACTGAATGTTAGGATTTTGACACAGTAAAATTTGCCAATTTTAGGCAAAACATGGTACTTCCCTAGGTGACTACCTCCACTGCATGGAGCACCGTGTCTCACCATCCTGTTCTTTCCACGAGCAGTCGGCCGTGACCTCCCTGACACAAACATGTTTGTTTTGGCTGGGCTCCCACTTCCCCTGCCAAATTGGCCTGCCTGTCTAGATCATGTCCTCAAGTGATACCAGAAAAGAGGAAGTGAAGTTGAATACTCCTTCCTCTGTCCGAGAGTCACTTGGGTGTGCCTGACACCATGACGAGCACTGTCACTGTGGCCACAGCCACCGGCCCAACAGTCTGCTCAAGTGCAAAGCGGGGCTTCCCACCGACCTCATCCCGGTGACCCACCCAACTCAGCAGAGGAGCCGTGCAGGAGACCTTGGGAGAAAATGCTGACCCTCACTCACCACGTTTTTTTTCAAATCCACTAATTTTTGTGAACTAAATATTGATGCTGAAATATCTTTGGGAGGATAACAAATCCTGTCTTCATTTGAAGAACAAAGAAAGGCACTAGAACCTACCCAGGTAACTTAAACACAGACACTGATAATGTCAATGTCAGCAACAGGGACTTTTTGGCTTAAATAAGATAATCACGAGATTTTCTCTCGGGGACAGGAACCCTGCCAAGAGCACGTGCTGCATAACTGTCCTCAGCAAAGTCCCCTCCCAGCAGCAAACCCAGGCCGAATCACTTCTGGAGGAAACTTACCATTTTTTTGTTGTCCTGCTTATTAATGCTGACCACAGACTCCTTGATTACAATGTGAGTGATCTCAGGGAAGTAAGAAAAATTGTTCCACTCTTCTCGGATTTTGTTTTTTTCCTCATCCTTCTTGTGTTTATTTTCCAGTTTTTTCCGTTTCAGTTTTTTTTCCTTTTCAACAGGAACAATCTGATAAAATGCATAAGTGACAGAGTGAAGCCAGCTTTCTCATTTTCTATTGGCATTTCTCATTTTCTCCTGACAAAACAACATAGGGCCTTGCAGCCAAGCAGGAGAAAGCCAGAGTGCCTGGACTGATGGAGGAGCTGGGAGAGTCAGCCCCCATGGGCTTATTCAGGCCCCACCAGGGATTCTTAGGGAAAGACCTTAATGGACACGCTGACTAAACTCTTGACATAATCTATAATGTACGAGGCAGACTCAGGGATGGAAATAAGTGCCCACTAGACATACATCTATAACCAGGTCCCCCCAGTTGAGCATGGGCTTTCTCCTTTTAGAATCTACCACTGATTGTCTTTACTAGACAGCCATAATCAAGTTGGAATTTTTAAGAGCAGGTATGAATCTCATGCTTAGATAATTTGGGGAGTCATACATGTCTGCACAAGCTTACATATTTTGTATAGCAGTCTTGGAGACCAGAGATCTGGATAAGACCCTGACTCTTGCCAGTTACTTAACTAGTTAGGTCATCTCTTTGAGCCTCCATTTACCCACCCATAAAACAGAGATCTTATGTCTTCACAGGGTTCTTAGAGCAGAAGGTAGGTTCTTAATAACACAGTACCCACACTACACAGAAAGTGCTTGGTAAGTGTTTGGCATTATTTTAGCATGAGAATAAAACAGGAGTAGAAAGTAAATTTCACCTTTATGTCAATAGTATTATTTACAATAATAATAATGATGATGATAGCAGCTATAATTATATATTGAACATTTATTATACACCATTTATTATTATATAAGCTCTATGCTAAATGGCAGTTTTCTCAACAACACTATGAGGTAGTACAGTAAGTGTTACCTTTTTATAGATGAATAACGAATATGTAGCTGATATATATGAAGTAACCCTCCAAAGGCCATGTAAATATAAACAGTGGAGATAGGATTTGAACCAGGTCTGCTGCTAAGTCTGCTAAGTCACTTCAGTCATGTCCGAATCTGTGTGACCCCATCCCTGGGATTCTCCAGGCAAGAACACTGGAGTGGGTTGCCATTTCCTTCTCCAAAGCATAAAAGTGAAAGTGAAGTCGCTCAGTCATGTCTGACTCTTCGCGACCCGATGGACTGCAGCCTACCAGGGTCCTCCATCCATGGGATTTTCCAGGCAAGGGTACTGGAGTGGGGTGCCATTGCCTTCTCCGTGAACCAGGTCTATTTAGCTTTAAAACCCATGCTTTTAAACCAATCTGGTCTATTGCCTCATTCAATAAATACTTCAAAAAGAAGCTCCAAATTGCAAGAAAAATTACCCTATTTCATGGAGCCAAAGACCTAAATTCAATTCTTGGCACAATCACTAATCAGTTAGTTATGACCTTGGGTAAATTTCTTAGCTTGTCTGTACCTCTTTGTGTTCATCTATAAAGTATGGAAAATGGTAGTATCTCTCATAAATTTGTTTTAAGGAACAAATGAGTTAATCCATGTAAATTGCTGAGAAAAGTACTTGGTACATGGTAAACACTTGGTAAATGTCTGCTATTACTATATTATTACATATTATATATGCTACATTTCTCTATTTCCCTACAGAACTCAATAAATATTTATTTAGATCTTCTGCTACATGGACACAATAAAAGATGAATGATACACTGTCTCTAGCCCATGAAACACGACGGGGTGACGAACAGGCAAAGAGATAATATCATCAGAATACACAGAACGCACCATGCAACATAGGATGTTCTGACCAGCCACCTATCGGCACTTACATGTGGTTTCTGTCTCCACTGGATTCCAAGATTTCCAGTCACCATCACTTCATAGCAGAGAACATTTCCACTATCATTTGGATGGAACCGATTCATCTCATTTTCTGATGAAATCAGTAGCATGGAAGTCTCAAATATTTCAGCACCATAATGTTTTGTCAAAGTTTCCAAGGTAGCCAGGTATTTCACCTTCAGGTCGTGCGTGGACACGCTGCTGTCGCAAATGGTCTTGTTGTTAAACTCCTTTAGGAAATCCTTGAAAACATTATTTATCCGCATCCTGGTGAGAAGGTTCCTCTGTCTGATGGACTTATTCAATGTTTCTGGAATATATCGCTTGTAGCTAAAAGAAAGTTTAAAAAAAAATCTCTTTTTTATGCATAGGTTAGCAGAATAGCTCAGAAACAAACGCAAGCCTGTGACCCTTCCTTCTCTGTGTTGCCAAATGAGAAAGGTTCTACTCCCAGAGGTCTTGGAGTAAAACTCAGGATGATAATCATAGGGAGATGGAGGTGAACAGGGACTGAAAGAAAAGAGACAAGTACCTGGTCCATAGATTTTACTGAAATGGAAATTCCTACAGGAATCATCAGATTTTCTGGGTCACAAAGGCAGGCAGCAAAATGGACTTATCTGTTTTTGTTTGCGAACGTCACTGTTCCTTCCCACGTACACTGTGTTCACATGAACACACTCTTGCTAAGGTTCAGCCAGAACCTTAGCAGTTAGAAAGCCACCTGGAAGGTGTCAAGAGTGACAACAGATGCTTCACACGTTCTACTTGCATATCTATTTGACAGCTTTTCTATAAAGATCACAGGTTGCCTTTATAAGAAATAGGAAAAACACATAAAAGCTAATCAAATACAAAAGACCCAGTGTTTGCTGTGTGCAAATGTCCTAGATATATTAAATGGATCAACAGATAAAGTGAAAGATTAATCATTCAGGTGTTAATGAGAGAGAGAGTATCTATGAATAACAGAATCACAGCAAATGGATACACTGTGAGAACAAGACCCAGCTTTAAGAGGGGAATGAACACCCAAGAAAAAAAGAGCAAGTCTGCTGGCGGTCAAACAAGTGGGGAGACAGCCTGAGAAAGCACCCAGCACAGGGGAATCCCTGCTGCACTGATAGTTTCACAACAGCGGAAAGCTGTGGAGCTTGAAATCTGTCCCCAACAAATACTGTAACTTCTTTTTTAGATTAAAGTAACAGAGGGGAAGGTCAGAGGAGAGCTATTTTTAACTTTAGCCTCATGCAAAAATAAAGAGGAGGTGCCCAGAGCAAACGCCACAGAAACAGGAGAAAGCAGTGTGGCATGTATCTCACCAGTCCCTGCATTTCTGAGGAGCAACTCGTGACCTGCTCCAGACTCTGGTCAAGGGCAAGGAGATACAAGATGTAACCTTACGAAAAGGCACCTGCCACCTATCACAGATAACATGGCTAGAAATAATACCCTCTTCAAAATGACTTGTCTTGGGACAAACACAACAGTGTATCGATTTAAAAATTATATTTCCAGACTTCCCTGGTGGTCCAATGGTTAAGACTGTGTTTACACTGCAGGGAGCATCAGTCTGATCCCTGCCTGGGGAACTAAGATTTCCCCTATGATGGGTGGATGGCCAAAAAAATACAATAAAAATTATATTAGTGTTTCATAGATAGGTGGAAGTTATACAGATTGAATATTCCTTCAGAAGGACTTGCTTGCAAATGATCATTTTAAGTAAATACAATTTTCTTAAGGTAACAGTTGATCGTGCTTCACGTTGGAATTAACAGCTCTCCAGTGAACCAGTACAGGCTGGAAATGTATTAGAGCTATATCAAGAAGGATTTTAGGACAGATCCAGCACAAAAGGAAAAAGTGCAGGGGCAGATGCCAGTGTCCAGCATGGGCAGAGAGCAAGGGGGAGGGCATGTGGGCCACTCATTTGACTGGTGACCCAGCCCAGAACTTTAACTTCGTACAAATTTCTGAGGTCGTGAGCCAACATTCAAATTCAGGACACAATTATAATTGTACTACCTTTTATCATAAATATCTTTTAAAAAAGCTGGGCTCTGCAGAGAGCAGTAGTCAGCCAACAACCGAGGTGTATGAGAATGTATAAGAATAACACCATCCCCACAATCAATTCTTCAGCCAACAGGAAGGTTTACCTGATGTCCTTGGGGAGTTCTGGCAATTGCATCTTCTTCATCATGGCGTAGTGGGAGATGGCCAGCACAGCCATTCCCAGACACTCATTCTCAATGTCGTGCCCGTCCTGCTCCGTCTTGGGGTCTCGAATGGGAGCCAGGCATTTGACCAAATCATACTGTCCCTTTGGAGCAGAGATGAGAAGAAATGAATCACTGCTTAAGTTTCAAGCATTTCTGATCTTAGGAGGAAGGTTCCCCACACAGGGAAGTGCTACCCAAGAAGCAGTACAGCAAGGAGACTAATGAGATTTAGTTTCCCTGGCACCAGACCTCTTTCTCAATAGTTGGGCATGAAAGGGCTTGGGAAATGTTCTCCCCAGGTTAATTCATTCCTTCAAAAGTCATGAAGCCCCTCCACAGGGCTTCCCATGGAAGTGATGGTAAAAAATGTAGCATGTACTAGGCTTGGACTGCACCAGGGCATGGGAGGTGACAGCTGTCTGGGGCTTGATCATTTGTTAACTCCACAATGAACTGAGCACCCACCGTCCCTCCTGATGTAGATTTACAGAAAGGAGAAGGAATCCCAGATTCTACACTAGGTCATGACCACACGTGATATTTTTCAACATCTGCTGTTAAAGTCTCCAATGGTGAAATATATCCTCAAAATACACCCCCTCACTCATGGAGGTATGCCACACATTCCAAGAGTTCATGAGGGCTTCAGAAAACAAAAATGAAAACTAAAAACCAGTGGCCAATACGTACCTGTCTTGTACAGACTAATGACGACACCATCACTGCTCAGTCCCCTTTATTAAGCCCGGACCTGAGTGCTAGGCACTGTGCGAGGTTCCTCTCATTCACTATTTCATTTAATCTTGACAACAGCCCTATGAGGGGGATGCTAACATCACCAACTCTGCCTAACAGATGAGGAATCTAAGGCACCAAAAGGTTAAATAACGTCACTCACTCAGTTGCTAATTATTGACTAACAAGAACCAATTATGGGCCAGATATTATTCGAGGTACTAGCAGCAGACCAAACCACATCCCTGATCTCATGGAGACTCCAAGAAAGAAAGAAGAACAACTAGAAATACATAACCTCAAGTAATTACCAAAGCCAAAGACAAGTAGAAAGACATAGCGCTGTGAGCGCTGGGGACCTCATGAGCGTGTGTCTGTGTGTGTGTGTGTGTGTGTGTGTCTCTGTCTGTGTGTGTGTCTGTGTGTGTGTCTGTGTGGTGAGGGGTGGGGGGCGGTGGGTATCAGACCAGATGTGACTACAGGGCTGCAGCTCTGCAACGCAAAGCCACCGTCACACTTGGTCTCTTCTCGCCGACTCCAAGTGGACCAAGCTCTCAGGACAGTACTGTCAGCCTTCCTCCAGCTTGCAAAGAGGCAGACATGAAGTCTGAGGTGGTGGTCCTACATCAGGAAGACATTCGCTTTCCCTGAAGCAACTTTAATGGGTTTTGGATGAAGGGTTCTCACCACTGCCATTCTCCTTTTGCCAAGGCAGGACTTCTGGTTTCTCTCAGTAAGAAAAGGACACTGACCACTTCTGCAAACTGCCGAGGATCAACAACAATCATCTCTGCCAGCAGTGTGTGTGGAAGAGAACAAAATTCAAAACTATTTTGTCTGGCTGTGATTTTCTGTAAACATCACTGTACAACTACCTCAAGTAATTCATTCCTGAAGCTCTGAAATGTCAGATTCTAATGTCATACTCACTCCTGAAGTATGGGGCACTCTTTATTTACACTTTCTCTTTCAAAAAAGTAAAAAGACTCAATCTCAGACATGAATATGTGTAAAACTGGGAGGCTGGATTCAAAAAGGCCAATATGAAAATGGCCAGTTCACTTTACTTTTTCCACACAGTATCTGCCTAGGGCTGTGCTGTTTCACTTCTCTGCAGTCTCGGAGGCCACTCCTCAGATATGTTATGGAAAGTGCAATCAATAACTAAAGCTGTATAGCAGATGACGACTGTGACACAAAACCCAAATGTGAAAAACTACATCCTAAGGAAATAATAAGGAGAACACACATTCAGAAATATGTTTGAGGCTGTTTTGTAACAGTGATAGTGTAACAGGGGAAAAAAACAACAAAAAGGTTTAGAAACAATGATTAGTTAAATGAACGCTGGATTTTCCTCTGGATTCCAGTCTCACACTCAACTTCCTACCAGGAATCTCCACTTGCACATCTCACAGGTATCTCTGAAAGAGAGCTCCTTGTTTCCAATCCCCCTTCCCCAACCTGCTGCGTCCAGTCTTTCCTATGCAGGGAATCACTCCATTATATGTCAGACGCTGCCCGAAACAGAAATCTCAAAATCATCTTTGATGCTTCCAATACCCTCAACCTTCCACATCCAACTTAACAGCAAGTCATATCAAGTCTATCTCCAAAATTAATCACAGATCCATCCATTTCCCTCCAACTCTACTGCTACAACACTGATGCTACTTGGCACGCAAGGAGCGGCGAGGGGTGTGCATAAATATTCCACAGTGCCCAGTGCCTTACAAGAAAGAATTACCCAGCCCAAAGTGTCAGCAGTGCTGCTTTTGAAAACCTTTGCTCCTCTCCAAAGAAATACTTTCCCTACTCCTCCCTGAGAACTGCAGACACTTTTATTCTTCAACATTCAGTACAAATGCCACCTCTTTGAAGAGACCTCTGATTATTCTATTTAAATTAGCTCTCCCCATTCAAACCTCCCTCCCCATATTCCTTATGACAAAAGCTTTTTCATTCATAGAACTTATCACAGTTCCTTGTGTATTATCTATGTGTCATTTTATCTGCTTGTTTTGTTTGTCCAACCCAATTAAATATCTGGGGCTTGCAGAGGCCATGTCTGTCTTGCTCACCACAGAGTCTGCAGCAGCTTAGCAAAAAGTACACAGACACTCAGAATAAGATATTTTCAAATACTACAAGTGCACGGTACATATCTGCATGATAAAATCAGGAAGCACACAAATAAAAATGCTAGGTATCTCAGGTTAATATAATTCAGGTGACTTGACCTTCACTTTCTGGCTCTTCTCTAGTGTCTAACCATCCCACTCACCACCGCTATGACTCAGAGCAGCCACCTCCTTGCCCTCTGTGACTGCTGAGAAGCACCTTCATGACCAGCCCTGCTCAATGACGCCTTCCCTCACTTAGAGCTTCCCTCTGCTCTCGGCGCAGGAGGCACCACAGAGAGGAAGTGAATGGGGTCAGTGGAGCAAGGGGTGGGGAAAGGCCCACAAGTGGGATAACCAGCCCCCACTGGATGCTGAACTGCCTTCCCTTGCCCTCACCTACAGCAAGTCCAGGGTTGGTGAGAACGACCAATCAAACAGGTCATAAAGCATCTAAGCAGCTACCATGGTCGGCTGCGCCAGGGAATCTGACCCCTGCCATGTCTCACCCACCCCACGATCTCCAGGCTCCCCTGGGCCCAAATGTCTTACCTGAGCAAACAGATACTCCAGTGAGCTGGCGTCAAGGAGAGGTGTTGCATCTGGAACTTTTTTTTTCTCATAGCCATTTTTCTGCTTCTTTGGAGAATGTCGCCATACTGATTGCTCGTTGTCATTGGTCCCATGCCAGTTGGTGAAATAGAACCTGAAAGGCAGGAAGATGAAGGTTAATCATGGGAAAGAGGACCTTGGCGTGCATGGGAGGGGTGTCCTGGTTCTACCCAGGGTGATCAGTGCCGCAGGCTAAACTTCCCTGAGAAGTAAGCAAACAGACAGACCTTTCATCTGGGTAAGCACTTCACTGTGTATAAGGTCCTTTTCTTTCATTCTTATGAGCACTCTGTGAAGAGCATCCTGCCAGAACCTCGCCTATGACTCAAGGAGATAAGGTGACTTCCTTAAGATCACGGAGATAGCACCTCGGACTTCCCACTGTGTCTTTCTAAACAGGAAAACACTGCTGACTAGAACTAGATGTTAGCCTAGTCACTCACTCCACCTTTAGTGATGCCAGCCTACCTTGAATCCAAGACCAACATCATTCAAGTTTAACATTTCTGAAATCTAGCTTCATCATACAGTCAAAACATACAGTTAATACAGCAGTGTTTCCTATTTCTCAGATTGCTGTTACTGATACTTTATCTTACAATGAACAAGTTTTAAAACAGAAGAAATACATGAACATTATTACAAGCATCAGCTGCAGTGCCCAGACCTAATGAACACTTTATATATGCTATTTAATGCTTGCAGCAATTGTACAAGTTATGTTTTACTGCTTCCATTTTATAGAGGAGGAATACTGAGGTTCCAAGAGGGTAGGTGTCCTAAGACCAAGAGCCTGTTTTCTCCACCATCTGTAAGAGAAACACCAGGAATTCTGGAAGGTATGAAGGTGACTCAGCCAAACTGATCCAGGACAGCTTCAGGTTACAGACTCAGCAGGTCCCTGGGTCTCCCTCCCTTGACATGCCCATGTGCTGAGGAAAAACCATGATAGCATGAGGAAGGAACAAATAAAAATCTCCTCCTCAAAAGGAGCTGCCACTGAACCCAGACACCTGTCAGAGAGCTGTCCTGGCAGAGCCTGGGGCAGGCAGGATCTGGCCAGGCTCTGGAAGGCAAGGGGTTCTCAGGCACAGCCCCTGCCTGCTGTGAATCCCCTGTCTAGAGGCAATCAGTCAAATTCAACAATATCCTCAAAGTAGCAGGCAAGAGGGCACATCTCACAGATAGGGCTACACTGTGAATTTCATGGACCTCACACAGTTTTCCTTTCCTCCATAACAAAAATATTAAAGGTAAATATAAACATAACAACTGTGGTGGTATAAAGATGAATATAATCCAGGCTGGATTATTTTTTTCTTGACTTAAAATTAAAACACTTCTGTGGGGACCTAATAACACTGTGAACCCTAGGCACTGTGCCTCAAAGCTAAGTTTTTCTTAAACATGAGAGTCTCAGGTAAGGCACAATGGAGGACCAAGGAGGGAGAAGCTGCCCCCACTGCCAGGGGCAGTGGCAGGGAAGGGTAAAGGGTTGGGGAGGGAGTTGGGACTAGAATAAACAAACACCAGGCAGGCTATGGAGTCTGGACAAGGCACAGGAAAGCCCGCGAGCCAAGCTGATGTGAGGCAGGATCCCCCTGGAAGATGGACTGAAACGAGAGAGGCAGAGAGACAACAGGTGCCTATGGCAACCACCTGGGCAACGCTGTGAGCTTCGTGGGGCAGAGGCCTCAGCTATCCTGCTCATCACTAAACCCCCAGTGCCTGGTACAGAACAGGTGCTTAATACACGCTTGTTGGATGAACGAACAGCAAATGAATGACCTAATTCAAGAAGTAGTTATTAAAATGGAAAGGATGGGTAAGAAGTTACTTTAAAGGTAAAATCAACATTTTACAACTTTCCAGTGATTCTACATAACCCATATTTTATGTAACTTACCAAAGTGACTAATAACTTGACTGTGGCCTTTGGCATCTATCTCTCAGGCAGAAAAAAGCCATATATCTACAGAGTTCACATGCAGCATAAACCGTAGCTACAGGACTGTCTCCGTCCATACCCTCCCATGTGAAAGTAGAAGCCTGTAGCTCTCAGCTGCCCAAGAGGCTGGCATCCATGCTGCCCCCAGGCTGAGAAGCCTGTTCTTCAAGGGCAGCACAGAGCACAGGCCAGCAGGACTCCTCTAGGATTGGCTGCCCTGGGAAGGCAGAAAGTTAAGAGGTGAACCAGCTCCAGCAGCTAAGCAGGAAATCTGAAGCAGGGGCAGAAAAAGAGGGACAAGGCCATGGCGGACTCCTCTGACCACTGAGGGAAGTCCAAAATGGAGCATTCTCATCATTCATACAATAAGCTAGTGATCTACTTTAAGTTCTGGGGGGTCCTGCCTGGGAGGAGACAGGTGAGAGGTCTAAATGGGATGATGATGATGAAGAGAGTAACTTAGAGCTTCCAAGTGCTAATTGTGTGCCAAGCACTCCACACACAAAGGCTCAAAGCAGGCCTCTCACAAAGAGATTCGATTCCCAGGTGGTGCAGTGTGAAAGAATCCACCTGCCAGTGCAGGAGATGCAGGTGTGATGCCTGGGTCGGGAAGACCCCCTCGAAAAGGAAATGGCAACCCACTCCAGTATTCTTGCCTGCAAACTCCCATGGACTGAGGATCCTGGCAGGCTACAGTCCATGGGGTTGCAAAGAGTTGGACACAACTGAACAACTAACATTTTCACTTCTGGGCTTCCCAGGTGGCGCTAGTGGTAAAGAACCTTCCTGCCAATGCAGGAGACATTAAGAGTTCGACTCCTGTGTCGGGAAGAACCCCTGGAGGAGGACATGGCAACCCACTCCAGTATTCTTACCTGGAGAATTCTACAGACAGAGGAGCCTGGCAGGCCCCAGTCCACGGGGTGGCAGAGAGTCAGACACGACTGAAGCGACTTAGCATGCAGCACGCATGGAAGATTACCTGGGCTAATGAGGTAGAGGGATGTCAAGGGTGGAGGAAGCGGTCTGAAAGAGCAGAATTGATGACAGATTTTCCCTGAACCAGTAGGAACCATGGATTTCCCACATCCCCGCTGAGTCTCTATGACAAACAGCCACGCTCCCAGCATACCCCCTCGGGGCTGAACGAGGACATTTTCCAAGGTTGCCATCTGAGTGCTGTGAAAACGGCCTTGCTTTAGAAGCCTTCTGGTAAGATGTTCAACAAGATAAGGCAATGTACAATGTCTTCACTACAAAAGGCTGAAGGGAGCCTAAAACAAGGCTGGATCTCTGGAAATTGCCTATAGTCAGAGACTGATGGCTCTCTATTTAATAAGACAATAAAATGGAAAAAACCTTTAGATTATTGACTGCCGAAATCAACATCTTCCATAAGCAACAAGGATATATTGTACTACTGTATGGCACAGGGCGATGTAGCCACTATTTTGTAATAACTTTAAATAAAAACTACTGAATCACAGGGCTTCCCTGGTGGTCCAATGGTTAAGACTCCACCTTGCAATGCAAGGGACACCAGTTCGATCCCTGGTCTGGGAAGATGCTACATGCCATGGAGCAACTAAGCCTGTGAGCCACAGTATTGAGCCTGTGCTCTAAGAGCCCAGGAGCCTCCACTACTGAGCGCGCCCGCCTACTGAAGCCCGCGTGACTCGAGCCCGCACTGCACGAGAGAAGCCACTGCAGCGAGAAGCCCGCACACAACCAAGAGCAGCCCCGCACTCTCCACTAGAGGAAGCCTGCGCGCAGCAACGTAGACCCCACAACCAAAAAATTAGTAAGTCTTTTAAAAACCATATTGAATCATTATGCTGTACATAGGAAACAAATTACAAATTGAGTATACTTCAAGAAAAATAAATAAATAAGTAACAACGGAAATGTTTCAGGGAAAAAAATCAACACCTACCTAATTGCTAATAAGACAAAACCAGTAAGTACCCTCAAGACAGAAATTGTACACTCCTTTCAAAATCAATTATTAAACCTGGGCCACCAACTCCTGATATTACAACATGCTAATGGAAAAAAATTAAGGATGACCTAAATAAATGTAGTATGATAATGGACTATATTCCTTTGCAGGATGATATGGAAGAATACTGCCAGAAGGAAGGAGGGAGGAAGGGATCATCAGACAAATAGACCCACCAATGAGAGATATGCCTTCCTTGCAAGTTCTTGAGAAAATTATACTACAGATGATTACATAGTCTAAGCTTATGTACAGATATTATATACAACAAATTCTCTTTAGGTTTCTATAGAATCTGACTAATGGACAGTGAAATTCATTTAGATAAAAAGCAAGAAAATATGATTTTTCTTAAAAGGAATAAAAAGTATGTTTGTCTTATATTAAGATAAATCATAAAACAATAGCTAAAAAGTTATCTAAAAACAGAAAACTATAAAGTACAAAAATACTGCCCAAAATAGAGCTGGGATTCCAATGAAATAGTCACAAACATTTATGTTCATATTACACCTTCTTTAGTGGTGAGATGATGAGGTTTCAAAATTATGTAGTCTGTTGTAATGCAAATGTTTTAGCTTAGGGTGGGATCTGTCCAAATTTAAAGAGTTTGTGGTAACAAGGCAATATCCTGTTGAAGCGCAGTGTCAGGTACAAAGTCAAGGTGCCAAAAGTGAGGCAGCCATGAACTTCCTGGCAGCTAGCAGTAACGTGTGTGTGTGTCCATCTCTGTGCGACCCCGTGGTCTGCTGCCCACCAGGTCCCTCTGTCCATGGGATTCTCCAGGCATGCATGCTGGAGCGGGCTGCCATTCCCTTCTCCAGGGAATCTTCTCAACCCAGGGATCAAACTTGGGTCCCTTACATTGCCTGCACTGGGAATGGGGGCGGGGCGGGGCGGGGGTCTTTACCACTAGCACCACCTGGGAATTCCCAACAGAAATGGGGAGCTGTGCTGTGGTACATATACACCATGGAATATTACTCAGCCATTAAAAAGAATTCATTTGAATCAGTTCTAATGAGATGGATGAAACTGGAGCCCATTATACTGAGCGAAGTAAGCCAGAAAGATAAAGACCATTACAGTATACTAACACATATATATGGAATTTAGAGAGATGGTAACGATAACCCTATGTGCAAAACAGAAAAAGAGACTCCTATGTATAGAACAGACTTGTGGACTCTGGGAGAAGGCGAGGGTGGGATGTTTCAAGAGAACAGCATTGAAACACGTATATTATCTAGGGTGAAACAGTTCACCAGCCCAGGTTGGGTGCATGAGACAAGTGCTCGTGCCTGGTGCACTGGGAAGACCCAGAGGGATTGGGTGGAGAGGGAGGTGGGAGGGGGGACCGGGATGGGGAATACATGTAAAAAAAAAAAAAAAAGAGATACACTATGGTTGTGATAAAAAAAATAAAATAAATAATTAAAAAAAAAAAAAGAAGAAATGGGGAGCTGTCAAAGACAGTTTTTCATCACGAGGCATTCACATGACCAACCAAGAGGATTCTAGTGCTAACAAGACAAGTCACTATGTATGTAACTTTGAGTAACTCACTTGTCTTTTTTGGACATCAGTTTCCACCTAAAAAATAGGAAGAGCTGAATCAGGCAAACTCAGGTCCCTTCGAAGTCCCATATTCTACCATTCTAGATTCTGAGTCTAAAAACCTAGAGGGAAAGAACTAGAACTGAGTGACAAGCCTCCTTCCCAGACTTCAAGCTACAAATACATGCTTCAATGTTGCGTTGCAGAGCCAACCCCCAGGCCACAGGAACAGGATTACACTCTGAAAAATAAATCCAAATTTAGCCAGAAGGCTTAGCTGGGTGGGATGAACATTTCCCTAACCCTGGGGCAGGAAATCTCACAGGACACACACCTCTCAAGGTGAGACCAAGGGTGAGTAAGGAGGGAGGAGAAAAGTCAGCCCAGGGTGATTATCAAAGAACGTACATCTGGTTCAGCTTCCGCCGAGAAAAACATCCAGCCACTGCAGAATGGTAATAACTCTACTGACCTCTCGACGGAAATAGCAGTTAAGACACTGTGGAGAGCCTCTGAGATCCCCAGGCTGTTCTACATGACCCTGGTTTCCAGTAGCACCTGAGCCAACTCACTGACTAAATCCCCTCTAGGTACGTTAAGATCCTTTTCAAAAAGGATTCACCCTATTTATCAGCTTCTCTGCTAAATACAAGTGTGAACCTGTGGTTAACTGGTGGCAGGTGGTTTAGTCGCTAAGTCGTGTCTGACTCTTGTGACCCCATGGACTATAGCTCTCCAGGTTCCTCTGTCCATGGGATTCTCCAGGCAAGAATACTGGAGTGGGTTGCCATTTCCTTCTCCAGAGAATCTTCCCAACATAGGAATCGAACTCAGGTCTCCTACATTGCAGGCAGATTCTTTACCGACTGAGCTAAAGGGAAGCTTGTGGTTAACTAGTATCTAATAAACACACTTCCAATTCAACATACAGATCAAACATGCTTATAAACTCAAGAGACTATAGTGATGAAGTACTGACTATGCCACCTTAGGAGACTATGTGACACTTAACAAAGTCTACAATATGGGAGCAAAGATAAAATATTCACTAGAAGAAAAATTATAGCCCCACTGGACCAAAGTCCTCAGGCAGTGGATTGAAACACCCACCTCTTTAGAATAAGACCAAGCTAGGATTTCTAGGTTTCCACTTCAGGCAGTGTTTCTCAAGCTCTCTAGTAAGAAACATCTCATTATACAATGAGCTAATACATACGGATTACATATTAAGAAACATTTTATTATACCATGGCCTAGACATACAGATTATATATTAAGAAACATTTTATTATACCATGACCTAGAACATACAGATTAATCTCAAACTACAGCTCTAAAAACAATATTCTTAGGTTATGTATATATGCTGATATTATCTATTCTCATCTATCTCTCTCAAAAAATTTCTGGTCATAACTCTCTAAACTAAACTCATAACCATAATTGGCTGAATAAAAACTCTGCTGTAAGGTACTAATTCTATTCAAAATACCCTCTGCTTTTTAATGATTTCTTTTCTAAAATGCAACAGAGGAAGGTGATCAAACTCATCTTGAATTGTTTTCCAAATACCGAAGAAGTCCTTTCTCATAGCAAGCAAATACAAAACTTACAGGTTACAAAAATGACTACATTGCCTCTTGGTAAGTGACTTAGGTCTCCAGGCTGACGGTCGTGCGTCCCTGCACAGGAGAGACTGGCAGGCACCCGTACCTCATCCGGTAGTGGAGCCGGAGTGACGTCTTGTCGTCAACGGTGATGGCGCGATTCGGAGCATACCAGAGCTTGGTGCTCTCGTCATACAGGGCAAAGAGGTTGTGACACAGAGGAGAGATACCTGGGCAAAAGTAAAGAAGGGATCAGCAAATTAAAGACAGATAGACCTGGCATCTTTTTTCACAGCACCACATACGCAAAGACCAGCGATTCTCTCATCCAGAAAGAATACGAGTCATATTTGCGTCCTCTTAGGGCTAAATACAACTTCCAACCACGCACAGTCAGGCAGTTTTAAACATAATAATAAAAAATCATGGCTCCCCAGGAATATGGGCTATAGCACCTGGCAAACCAGGTAAAAAACCGTTTAAAAATAAAAGTCTAATAATATTCCTCATTACAGTGTCTGTGACAGTCTTACCAAATCCTGATTCAAAGAAAAAAAGACCATCTGAGAGAGTCCCAGACCCCACCTGTTGTGCACCTTGCTAATCACAGTGAGAAGCACTCTCAGAATTTGAGAAATCCTTGATCCAGCTCCTACAGAGTGTTTAAACAGTTCTAACATACTTTGATTACACATTAAACATGCAAATAAGTTCCTGGCAGTAGCGTGTAAAATGTGTTAGAATAAATAACCAAAGTGATTATCCATGATTAAAATCTATTACCATAAATGGTAAATACACTTTTAAGGTACTCTGTATAGTTACTGAAGTATTTTTTACTAGCAGCCAACTAGCAAGAACAAAACTGTTGACAACAGGTAGCCTTGCCTCCCTGCAAGTGCTCCCTTGCCTTCCTATCCAACTAACCACCTCCTTTGATACGAGAATGTTAGAAGAGATTAGAGACATGAAGCCAGTAAAGTACCTTTCCACTCAACTTCTGAGCCCATGATTAAAATTACACACACCTGTAACCTAAAAGTGTAGGGGAGGGTAGGAGAATGATTACAAATAATCAATTATTGTTGATATTTTCATGTGTGGTCAGGCCTCAAACAAAGATACAATGAACTTATACGGTGGGAAAAAAAAAAAAAAAGGAGGAGGCGGGGAACATGAGGTAGCTGGCACTTGATTCCCAACTCAGATATGTGAAGACAGACCGACACTGACTGGGACCCCCACTGACCCTGCCCACCTAGGCAGGGACGCTCTGCTATGCACACACTAAGAAGTTACAGGTTTCTTGGCTTCTTCATGCTTCTGCTGAATACCTCAACTTCTGTTTCTCAAGTTATTTGGGAGTTACTTCTTCAGAGTTACACTACTCCATGTAGCAGAGGAGATGGAGCTATACTTCAAAGAGCATTTTCCCTTGGGAACCATGGTAAATGGCTTTTAGATCCAGTATTACTAGGACTATATTTCAGGTAAACAATGGATTTTCATTCATAAACTGGCTTCTGTGGACTGGTCTGGAAACCTAGCTTTTCTTTATAGATATCCACATTTGAATATGAAAACACGTATTTGAAGCATAATTTATCTGTAGTCAAATAGATAAGTCTACAACTCTATTCCAGGTCTGATTGAGACAGTATCACTACTTAAAAGGAAGATCAAAAATACCTACATAGCACCAACATTTACTGAGGGCTTAGTATCAGGCATCAGCCTAACATACTCTACATCTATTATCTTTTAATTCTCCTAATACCTCCTGTGGTTATGTATTATTTCTGCCATTTTACAGATAAAGAAACTCTGAGATTTAGTCTGATTCAAGGTTGTTCGACTAGTAAAATGCAAGACTGGCATTCAAACCCAGATAGAGCTACCGAGGAGGGTAAAATAAAGAGAGATAAAAGAACAAAAATCTATCCTATCTATACTGGTAAAAAAATGAGAATATTGACCCCAAAACATCATGTACCATAAAAATAGTAATAGCTACAAGAATCTGTGCTATTTCATATTCATGTATTAATTTCTGCAACAATCCCCTGAGTTGGTTACAAAAGCTAATAATCATCCTCTACAGACTGGGCTTAAAAAGTGGTGCCCCAAACTGACCCTGAGACAAGAGTAACAGGATGCAGGGGCTGAGTCTGTCTGCACATTCACAGGCTCTCCCTCTCATCTCCTGAAAGAGCAATTCCTCAACCTCTCACTAACTGCAGCCCAACAATTCTGCACAAATGATCCTTGCTAACAAACTAAGTTTATACCTGCCAGGCTAATGGCAAGACGCTTGGCTAAGAGAATAAACACCATAAACCAAATCTCAAGAGAAAGGGGAAAAAACGTTTTTAAAAATGTCTTAGAACCACCAATTTACATCTAGTTGTTTGGCTATTAATAATTACAAATACTTTTAAAGCTGCTGTCACACCAACTTCTCCCCTTTTATTTGAACTCTGGTATTTCTAAAGAGTTTTAAGCAGAAAGACAGATCAGAAAGAAAATGGGTTTTCTAGACAAACCTAACTCAGGGCTGGCTCTAAGACAAGGTAGCTTATTCCGGGAACAGCCATACAATTCCCCCACCCCACCCCCATTGTAATAATCCTCAGAGTTGCTCTGAGGACTAAAGATGATGTAAGTAAAGCCATCATAGCTAGTGAATCCACCATGAGGAAATGAGTGGATTTTTTTAAAACAGCTGTACAAAGCTGTACAACCATCACCAAGCTCCAAATGGATTAGATCTTTCAGTTTCTATCAATTAACTTTACCTGTCATTTAAAAGCAGGTAGGCAAAACTGCCAGTGACCCCAAGGTTTAAAGGGTAATGAAAGTGGCTTTATTTCGTTAGTTTGGTTTCCCACCTTCTGAGGGCAATAGGCCAACTTTAGTAAGAGAAGCTTCACTTAAAAATATATAAATATAAAAAAAGGATTGTGTTGTTCACAGCTTCACTGTCCTTCCTTTTCACAACTTGGCAATCTGACCAAGCCACAAAGTGACACTTAACTTCTCACTTCAATTTAACATCACAATATCGCTGGGGTGGGGAGGAGGGTGTCAGGCACAAAAGAGGCAGGCCATGGCAGCCTAAGGATAGATCACACTTTTCAGAAGTTTTAAACTATTGACATATTGAGAGATGGTACTTACTGAGCTTGTAACTTTGTGCTTTATTCATTTAGTGCTGACATTCCAATTTCATAGATACAAGGGAAATAGAAAACTAAGCATCATTTTCTCAGACCCCATTAATGACAGAGAAGGAATAAGTCACCTTGCAGTGAAGACAGTAAGAAGTGAAATTTTTAGAATTAAATTCACTGGCCTAAGGCTGAATGCCAGTCAGTGGCTGAGGCTGGGCAGAACAGCTGAGCCACAGAACCCAGCCCCCACCCCCCCTCCGCCACCACCCCACCTCCCGGTGGAGCTGCCAGGGGCAGAGACCGGGGCCTGCCCGGGCAGCCGCTGGTACTCACAGCACTCCTGCGCCGCTCGGATGCACAGCTCCTCCGCTGTGTACTCTCCGCCACCCAGCCGGAGGGGCTCCCTGTCCGACAGGTAGAAGAGCACTTCCACCCCCGGCTCAGGGGCCTCCAGATTCATCTCCGCCTTCTTGGAGCTCCTCATTTTAGCACAGAAGGCCATGGCACTGCAGTCCTCTTTTATATTTAGATACTGGAGTGGAAGGAAAATGAGATTACATGGTCATTCTAGGTGCTAAAAGTTGGTCAAAGAGTGTTTTGAAGGGAAGCAAGGAGAAAGATGTGGTTATTAGATAAGGACCTCCCTCCTGCCCCTTCCCTCCCTGAAAATCAAATGCAGGGGAGCTTACAGCAGAAGCAACCATGGAAGGTAATCAATTATGCACCCTAATGAATAAATTATTCTAAGACCATATTCTCAAAAATCAGAGTGATGTAGACATGACCTAAATTTATATTCTCTATTTCCACACAAGTTGTAGCTGAAAATTGTGCCTCATTCTGGAACCACTGATGTTAATGTTACTAATATTCCTGCTGCCACTGGACCTACTGGCACAAATTACACTGCCTTTTAATTTTATGTCTATCTCACAGTAAATGACAAGCTCAGTGAGGGCATTAACTATCCTTACTTCATGCCCCTAGAATCTCACTCAGGGCTGGCTCTGAGACAGTGCACACAAAAGGACTACAGACTCTTGTTCATAAACCACATGGACAGATCACGAGAATTAATGAGTGCAGCCAGGCCCCTTCACCCCACAGATGGGGAGGTCGATGGGCAGCACTCTGTGGCACCAGAATGTGAGCGAGAAGCCTTGCTTTCAAAGATCAGAACCCACTGGTGAGAAGTTTGCAAATAAGTTACTCACTTGAGCCCCCTTGGTGGGATGAACAACTAGAATCAAAGAGACAACCTCAGCAACTTAACCTTGGGTGCAGAGAGAAAAGAGGGGGGAAGTAGAGAAAGTCTCAGGTGTTCTTTCTCCCCCTCACCCCAACATCAAAGGCCTCAAACTAACTTCTCTGACCCCAGGTTCCTCCTTTCCTCCTGCCTACCAAGCCCACCTTCACTTAGCCCCCAAAGCACACATCAGATCCTCTAAAGATTCCCCATTAATCTAGAAACCAGCTCTAAGCTACTAACAGAGGACTTCCCTCAACAGGCTAGCTAGCTTCATGGGACTCATCTCACATCACCCTCAGTCTCTTACTTCAGGCTTGAAATCCACAAAGCTGCCATCTTCCTATTACCCACGCCCTAGTCCACCCACCACCAACGTAATTTTTCTCATTTTCCTGCCTTTGCTCAGGCTGATTCCCCACCAGGAGTACCTTCGCACCTTATCCCTTTCATGACAAACTTCAATTTTCTTTAGAACTCAGCTCGGATATTACCTCCTGCAGGAAGCCTCCACTGAATCTCCAGCCCACCTCCCCACCTCCGGAGTTAGATGCCGTCTCTCACACTCACCACACTGCACTGAGCACGCTGAACTACGATCCTCTTATTCTCATGTCCATCTTTCTCTCCATCCCACGTGCTCTGAGTTCCTTAAGGACGAGCACAATGCTGTCCATCTCTGCATCGGTGCCTAGCACAGGGCTTGCGGAATGACCAAACCAAGCTATAGAAGGAGGGCCACTGTCAGTTCTCTTCATCAAATTCCTGTGCTTAGTCTACTAGCTGCCCTGGTGAAGAGACACTTACAGGAAGGACACAAACCAGGTACTCCTCAATGCCACAAACCAAGAGGCATTTGGTTTTACTTGTCTAATCACCAAAGTAAATCTGAAGATCAAATTTTTTCCAAGACCAGGCTGAAAGATTAGCTCGTAACTCATCTTAAGGTTCAGATCAACTCTCAAACAAGAAAACCAGCGCTGGGCTTCCAACTCTACCCTCCAACGAAAAATGAGAGATGAAAAACAGTAGCTAGAGTCTGCTTCATAACATAAGAAAAACCTTTCTCTTTAAGACTCTGAACAAACATAGCAGGGGAAGAATTCAAAGATGGTATCATACCCTTTTACCATAAAAATATAATAAGGAAAGTATTCATAATTATACATGTAGAAGATGAGGGACCATTTGAAATAGAAAAAGAAACTACAATGTCCAACAGGAGAGGGCTCGGTAAACAAAATTAAGATTATCAACACAAAGGAACACTATGAGGCTGTTCAGTTCAGTTCAGTTGCTCGGTCGTGGCTGACTCTTTGCGACCGCATAGACTGCAGCATGCCAGGCCTCTCTGTTCATCACCAACTCCCGGAATTTACTTAAACTCATGTCCATTGAGTTGGTGATGCCATCCAACCATCTCATCCTCTGTCGTCCCCTTCTCCTCCCACGTTCAATCTTTCCCAGCATCAGGGTCTTTTCCAATGAGTCAGCTCTTCCCATCAGGTGGCCAAAGTACTGGACTTTCAGCTTCAACATCAGTCCTTCCAATGAACACCCAGGACTGATCTTTAGGATGGACTGGTTGGATCTCCTTGCAGTCCAAGGGACCCTCAAGAGTCTTCTCCAACACCTCAGTTCAAAACCATCAATTCCTCGATGCTCAGCTTTCTTTATAGTCCAGCTCTCACATACATACATGACTACTGGAAAAACTACAGCCTTAACTAGACAGACCTTTGTTGGCAAAGTAATGTCTCTGCTTTTTAATATGCTGTCTAGGTTGGTCATAACTTTCCTTCCAAGGAGTAAGCGTCTTTTAATTACATGGCTGTAGTCATCATCTGCAGTGATTTTGGAACCCAAAATATAAAGTCTACCAGTGTTTCCCCATCTACTTGCCATGAAGTAATGCGACCAGATGCCATGATCTTTGTTTTCTGAATGTTGAGCTTTAAGCCAACGTTTTCACTCTCCTCTTTCACTTTCATCAAGAGGCTCTTTAGTTCTTCTTCACTTTCTGCCACAAGGGTGCTATCATCTGCATATCTGAGGTTATAGATATTTCTCCTGGCAATCTTGATTCCAGCTTGTGCTTCATCCAGCCCAGCATTTCTCATGATGTACTCTGCATATAAGTTAAATAAGCAGGGTGACAATATACAGCCTTGATGTACTCCTTTTCCTATTTGGAACCAGTCTGTTGTTCCATGTCCAGTTCTAACTGTTGCTTCCTGACTTGCATACAGGTTGCTCAAGACGCAGGTCAGGTGGTCTGGTATTCACATCTCTTTCAGAATTTTCTACAGTTAATTGTGATCCACAGTCAAAGGCTTTGGCATAGTCAATAAAGCAGAAGTAGATATTTTTCTGGAATTCTCTTGCTTTTTCGATGATCCAGCGGATGTTGGCAATTTGATCTCTGGTTCCTCTGCCTTTTCTAAATCCAGCTTGAACATCTGGAAGTTCATGGTTCATGTATTGCTGAAGCCTGGCTTGGAGAATTTTGAGCATTACCTTACTAGCATGTGAGATGAGTGCAATTGTGCGGTAGTTTGAGTATTCTTTGGCATTACCTTTCTTTGGGACTGAAATGAAAACTGACCTTTTCCAGTCCTGTGGCCACTGTTGAGTCTTCCAAATTTGCTGACCCATTGAGTGCAGCACTTTAACAGTATCATCTTTTAGGATTTGAAATAGCTCAACTGGAATTCTATCACCTCTGCTAGTTTTGTTCGTAGTGATGCTTCCTAAAGCCCACTTGACTTCACATTCCAGGATGTCTGGCTCTAAGTGAGTCATCACACCATCGTGATTATCTGGGTTGTGGAGATCTTTTTTGTACAGTTCTGTGTATTCTTGCCACCTCTTCTTAATATCTTCTGCTTCTGTCAGGTCCACAGCATTTCTGTCCTTTATTGAGCCCATCTTTGCATGAAATGGTCCCTTGGTATCTCTAGTCTTTCCCATTCTATTGTTTTCCTCTATTTCTTTCAACTGATCACTGAGGAAGACTTTTTATCTCTCCTTACTATTCTTTGGAACTCTGCATTCAAATGGGAATATCTTTCCTTTTCTCCTTTGCTTTTTGCTTCTCTTCTTTTCACAGCTATTTGGTAAGGCCTCCTCAGACAGCCATTTTGTTTTTTTGCACTTGTTTTTATTGGGGATGGTCTTAATCCCTGTCTCCTGTACAATGTCACGAACCTCCATCCACATTTCATCAGGCATTCTATCAGATCTAGTCCCTTAAATCTATTTCTCACTTCCATTGTATAATCATAAAGGATTTGACTTAGGTGATACCTGAATGGTCTAATGGTTTTCCCTACTTTCTTCAATTTAAGTCTGAATTTGGCAATAAGGAGTTCATGATCTGAGCCACAGTCAACTCAGAACTGACTCAGAATTGACAGCTCAAAAACTAGCCACGGTCTAGTTTTCGCTGACTGTATAGAACTTCTCCATCTTTGGCTGCAAAGAATACAATCAATCTGATTTTGGTATTGACCATCTGATGATGTCCATGTGTAGAGTATTCTCTTGTGTTGTTGCAAGAGGGTGTTTGCTATGACCCATGCATTCTCTTGGCAAAACTCTGTTAGCCTTTACCCTTCTTCATTCTGTACTCCAAGGCCAAATCTGCCTGTTACTCCAGGTGTTTCTTGACTTCCTACTTGTGCATTCCAGTCTCCTATAATGAAAAGGACATCTTTTTTGAGTGTTAATTCTAGAAGGTCTTATAGGTCTTCAGAGAACTGTTCAACTTCAGTTTCTTCAGCATTACTGGTCAGGGCACAGATTTGGATTACCGTGATACAGAATGGTCTGCCTTGGAAATGAACAGAGATCATTCTGTCGTTTTTGAGATTGCATCCAAGTACTGCATTTCAGACTCTTTTGTTGACTATGATGGCTACTCCATTTCTTCTAAGGGATTCCTGCCCACAGTAATAGATATAATGGTCATCTGAGTTAAATTCACCCATTCCAGTCCATTTTAGCTTGCTGATTCCTAAAATGTCGACGTTCACTCTTGCCATCTCCTGTTTGACCACTTCCAAGTTGCCTTGATTCATGGACCTAACATTCCAGGTTCCTATGCAATATTGCTCTTTACTGCATCAGACCTTGCTTCCATCACCAGTCCCATCCACAACTGGGTGTTGTTTTTGCTTTGGCTCTGTCTCTTCATTCTTTCTGGAGTTATTTCTCCACTCTTCTCCAGTAGCATATGGGGCACCTACCGACCTGAGGGGTTCACCTTTCAGTGTCCTCTCTTTTTC